GACAGATTAGAAATAAGAAATAAGAAAGTTTATTCAATATGGTTAGGAGCCAGTCTGGGAATCCATTAATTTAAATAAAAATATATATTTAATCCTAATATATATCACACCATATTAAATTCTTGCTTTATAAAACGTGAGTTTCGAACATCACTCATCATTTCAAGACATGTTTCTAAATCAAGCTTATCACACTTGAATCCAAGTGAAAATTTATACTTATATGGACTACATACATACATACCTTCATGTACAAATATATAAAAATCCATCAACCCAATTTATTTCTTGGTAATTCACTGCAAAGGTAATAAAACTCGAAAAAATATAGACTGCATAACACATTCAAGAGCTCAAGGATATATGAGGAAATTACAGTGACCACTGCCTAAAAGTTCCACTGCCTGAAAATAAAATCATTACAAGATGCTTAGTGCTAGGAGCTCTTAAATTTTAATTTGATTTTAGAATGAGGCTCCACTGCCTGGGCATGCTCGTGTTTATTTGCGAAGGGTAACAATTTGAAATTTGGCTCAAGCTGCAATTTGGCGGCGTGTTTTGCATATTATCAGCTAATTTCGCCGCCGAGATAAGCTCTGTTTTAGTCCAGTTGCCTGGCCATGATGGTAATTTATGCCCCGCCGTCCCGAGTGAGTGGCAACAATGAAATTGTTTGCCAGTACTTTGTGCAACAAAAAAATATTTATGCAAATCCGTCTGCGCTTTGTTGCAACTTGCAACTCCATCCATATTTTATTACATTTTCAAATATAATTGCAGCTCGAGCTGAGCATGGACATGGCAGAGGTAGTACCACGTCTTAGTGTCCACTTGGAGAAATGTAAGGTTCTTTTTAATAAAGTTTTAATAATTAATAATATTACTCTTTTAAGGATTAAATTATCTAGCTCATCAATTTATCCACTGTTTTAATATAACTAAGATTAAACCAAAACTCGATACATTGTTTTCGGTGCATCACTGCCCTGGAATTCCACTTTGAGCAGCTTTTCGCTGGCTTTTCGATTTAATCTCGTTTAATTGCTGCGACTAAGTGCGGATATGAGGGGCCACAGGGAGAGGGTTACAGTCAGCTGCCGGCAAATGAAATTGCATCAATGTCAAGCATGTGGAGCGGCTGGTGAGGCACAAAAAAAAACTCCAGAAACGAGCTCAGGAACATGTCGAGGTGCACCAATTGATGGCCTGCTGAACACCTTGCACGGCCCCTCATACCCTGCCTCCCTGCCTGCGATTACTCCGGCTCCTGCCCAAAGATTTTCCGCATTAATATGGCAATTTTATGAAAACAAGGACTCTGGAGCACGAGTCGCGTCTCCCTGTCGCCGCTGCCATTGCACCTGCTCACTTGGGAGACACCGCGGTAGTGACAAGTCATTTTGAATATCCCTGAGCAGGGTCCTGCTGCTTTTGCAAGGATATACTTTTATGAAGGATCTCTTACAGGCACCTTACGAAGGGAACTAAGGAATGCACTTTTATTTAAAGGGTATTAAACTATTCTTAAAAATATGAGGAAAATCTTAAACGAATTATAAATGAATCATCAAAACACTTAAATCAAAAACAGCTTAAATATTTATACCAGAATACTAGAAGAATTTTCTTTAAAAATAGACTCACCTCAAAACTTCTTCTCGTTAAGAATAATCATAGGTTTAAGTTCATAATGGGTTCATAGGGCTCTACTCTCTCCCACCTGATAGGGCTCCAGTGAATGGCCCAAAATTAATTACATTATTTTCGCATTAGGAAGCAGCCATGACACGAGCACTCATGAACATTTTGCGTAATTGCCGTAATTATTGTATTAATTTTTTTGTCGGACGTTTTCGCGGGATCTTGACAACCAGCGAGGATCAGGGGATCCAGAGAAAAGGGAGCACCAAGTGCGATTAGCAACGTCAAGATACGCGCCAGTTGCTGCGCCCGGGCTCGGCCCAGACCCGGAGGAGATGGCCACAAGTTTCGGGTTGCAATTTCAAAAGCGATTATGCTAATTAACCTAGTAAGGAGTCAGTGGTCCCCCTCCTTAAGGGCAACTGCAGCCAGGTCGCAATTTCATGCAATAAATGCCGCCAATGCGGTGTACATTTCGTAGCTGAAATGGACGACGACACCCTCGGCTGCGGCTGCTCTTCATAAATTGTAGGTTTTGGACCCGAAATTTGCATGGAACAAAATATGGAGTACAATAAATATTTAAATTTTATTAGACCCCTCCCTCCCAGCGTCCATGGACGATCCATCAACGAAAACAAAAAACAGAACTCAAGTTGGAAAAAAAAACTGAAAGAAATAAAACTTAAAAGCGTTAAATTTACGAGGTCTGGCCAAAGTGGTAGACGTTTAATGGGCAAACATGGCCGGAGCAACTGCGATTGGTCTTCTCTCGACGGATTCTTGGCTAAAAGACAGGAGGGGGGAGTAGGACCTAGATGTGGCGGGGAGGAAGTGCTTCCATTTCGCATGCGCGCGCATTTAAATTCACTTCCGTTTTGGCCGCAAATTATTGTTTATGTATGTGAGCGCTGTGAGTGGGTCTGTGTTTGAGTGCTTTGTAGGCTGCCATAAATTCATAACTTTGTGGAAAATCATAAGAACAGAATTTATGGCTTAATTATATATGTACAGTGTACACTCCCTGGAATGGAATGGGAATGTGGCTGCAAATGAATGGAGAATGGGAGCAGTGAGGAGCCAAATCCGCAGTTGGCCTTAACTTGGGCATTTCTTTTTCTTGATTTCACGCCGATGATTAAGTGTCGCAGGTAGGGAGGTAGGGAGAGGCAGAGGTAGAAGCCCAGGCAGGGGGAGGCCGGTAAAGCAGGGGAGGCAAACTTTTCGCTTGCATTTATGCTTAAATGCACTGCAATTGTTCTTAAAACGCTGCCAGGCTGCACGCGATGATGGAAAACTTCAACGATTTTCATTTTATTCTGGCCCGGTCAGACGTTGTTGGCCACGTTTCTTGTTGGCCATTCCGGCTGCTGCTCATAACTTGCAATTACGTGCTGCATTTTCTTTTGTTTCCTCGGCGAAGGCCTTATTGATTTTTGTGCTCTGATGCCGGGCTTTTGAATAAAATTGGGTTAAGCTGTTTTGCATCTGCAGTTATTCTGCACGCGCCTCTATATATATGTATGATTCCCACGATTCCTGCAGCAGGAGCACCAGCAGGAGCAGGACCTGCAGACAGTTTGTCTATAAAGTCAGCCAGGAAAAAGCGAGAATTTCTTGCATAAAGCCAATTAAATTAAGAAATCTGATTCAGCACCAACGACAACAGCACCAGGTAGCAACCAGTAGCAACAAGGACTGAAGAACCAACAAAAATAAAAATAAAAACAAAAATCGGATGAAGCAGAAACGTGAATCACAGAGGAATCTCTTACTCCTCCGAGCCCTGGCAATTGGTATTTTACAACAAACTGAGCTTGCGTTCAGCTTATTTAACATAAATCGAATGGCTACTGGAATACACCATCCTGGCTGGCAGTCATCCTGGCAGTACTCTTATCTGTGACTGTGACTTTGACTGGCTTCATGCTGCTGGGATGTCTCTGATGCACCAGCAGAAATATTTTCATTTCAAAAACAAGTATACGCAGTGGTGGTCAAGGATGCAGAGGGCATTGTATACCATTGTATATCTTGCTCTTTAGATTTCATATTTTCAATATAAATATATATAGTAAGGATATATTTATTTTTCCCAGTGTCTTTACAGAAGCTGAGCCAATTTCATTGAGCAAAGGCAAATGTAAAGGTAAAGCAAACGACCTTTAGAAAAATTGCCAAAGTCCGAGAAGTTGTTTTTGTCTTTCGCAGACAAATCACGACCCGAAGACGAAACAGGCATTGGGGGACAACCCATCGGAGGGATACAGATTTCACACCTCATCCGCCTTCACCACAAACCAAAAACAACAAAAAAAAAGTAAGACGAACTGACCCAACTAATAAGAGTCAGCAACAGCAACGCCCCAACAACGACAACATCAAGCGACACCAGCAACAACATGGCATAATAAATAAAAGCCAAGTAGCAGTTGCTGCCTCGGAGTCTGGGTCTGCATCTGGGCCTGGTCTGGTATGGCCCGTCCTGGCCTGGTCTGGAGTCCGGACACCATTCGCTGCAGACTCTGCTGGGCCCTGCGATTTTCACAAGTTGATATCGCAAACACAAAATGTTAATGAGCAATTTCGAGATGGTGCGAAGTGATTTCATTATTTAAACTTTTTTTTGCTTAGTTTTTGCCTTTTATTTCGTTGTCTTTGTCTCTGGGGCTGGATGTGTGCTGTGAGGTTGGTATTTTGGTTTCGGTTTTCTTATTTTTTTTTTTGGGTTTTCTGGTAAGACTTTTATTACGGATACACCATTGGGTAATGAAAGCGAAATAATTTTAATTGGCACTGGCTGGCAGCACTTTTATTTCGGGTCTTTCGATGCCAAATTAATTATTTCCTGTCAAATTAGTTTTGAGTTTTGGCATAAATTACGGCCCAGCTTGGCTCAATGGCTATGAATATGCATTGCACTCGGCTTTTCCCCCCACTATCCCCACCGTTCCCCTCGGCGGAATGTCACCTGTCGTGGCATGTCGCGCCGGGTTACTTCAAAACACTGTTCCGCCGCATAAATTAAGGCCGGCAACGTTGATTAATTGGGTCGCATTTGATGATTAAAACATAAATTGCAATGGATGCAGAAAACTTGGCCATGGATACGTGCTCGGGACGATAAGCTGAACTTTGCCAAAGGACTCTGAGTCCTAAGGGTTGCTGGCCACTAAAATTACACTTAATTAAACAACAAGCCATTAGGGATCCCCATCATCGCGAGCAACTTAAGGGTTTGTAATGTCCAAGGAATTTCATTTATTAAAAAAAAAAACAGATCCTTTAGTGAATTACTAATCGAAGGAAAAACATTAAAAATGAGATTGTTGTAGTAGTCAAGCATATTCACTCAAAAAATGTTTAAATATCTCATAGTTTCCTTGGCTATTATATTATTCCAAAGACAGAACACCCTTGCCACTTTATGCATCACCAATGTGATAGTGCGTGTGCCTCGGGAAAAGGACATTGGCCTGATCTTTGGTAAGCTCTACTCCCAGAGTAGTATTATCATATTATCATGGGATTCATATTATAGATCTGACCGTCATCAATCGCCTGAAGGGTACGAAAAGGGAAACTGTGGACTTTGTAATATCCTCGGACGGGGAATGCGTTGTAAATACCACTCGAGGAGAATTGGTGCCAGCGGTGGGTCGGGTCTATGGTGCAGATTTTGGAACTATAGAACCAGGAAAGACTGAAACGGTTTCTTTGGTCTGGCCAACAGTAGTAAGATTAATTATTAAATATATTATTAATTAACCAATAGTGGTATGAATCCATTACGTAGTCCCTCTACAACCGAGTGGGCAGTTGCCCCATCTCAATAATCACCACAAATGCCCAAAATGCCGTCTCTACCTCGAGGCAGATACTCCACTTTGACACTCGATTCGAGGTCCTGGATCCGAAGAAACAAACTCTGCGTAAACGCAAGGACTTTGTCGACTGCGGGAACTGGGACAAGGACTACCTGCGCAACTGTACGCCTCTGAACTGCGAGGAGCGCTATTTTGGGCAACGGAGCTTCTTCAACCTGGACTCGGGTCGGTGCGAACGGGTGCCACTTATTCATGGGGAAGGAAAGTTCTACGATCCTTTTTCCAACGAAGGCTTCGATTACGGGGGTTTCCTGTCGGAAGATGAACTGGAGCAGGTCAAACAAGGGGCTTATGATGTCAATTTTTTGGAACTGCGTGGACCTCCAAAAGTAACTATATAGAACACCTAAAATATTTTCACAGTTGTACAAAATTGTATGCAAATTTATTTAAAATTATTTTAAAAACTGAAACATATTGATGACGCCATCTATTGGTAGTTTTGCTAGACGCATTCGATAGCGCCACCTTCTGTTACTTGCATAAAACTGCTTTATTTTATCGCAAGCAGTGGGCTTTAGTATGAAAAATAACCGTCACTGTCTGCATGGCGCCGTGGCTTAGTTGGTTAAAGCGCCTGTCTAGTAAACAGGAGATCGTGAGTTCGAATCTCGCCGGGGCCTATGGAGCAATTGTACGCTCCATTTACTTTTTTTTTTTTTCTATTACCTTAAATTAATTTTATTAAAATTTCGCTTAATTTATTCTTCTATTTTGCTCAGGAGCCGCAAGAAAAACCAAAGAAAATCGTAGAAGCGGTGCCGCCCCCACTTGTCACTGCAAGTCCTTTGGCTCTAAGTCCGGAAGATTGTGACAAGTCCGTTAAAAATAAAAAATATCTTACGATGGCCGACTTTATCGAGTGTTTCCAGCACATAGAGGAATCTCCAAGCCAGAAGAAAGTACAGAAAAAGTCCCCCATTGAGGTCCCTCTTCTGACGCAATTGTATTATGACTGGTTCTTACCCATCAGGGCTGATACTTGGGGCGACATTCGGGGACGCATAGCTCCAGATACCCCAAGCTCTAAGAATGTGCGTTCGGGAGCCGAGCCTCTTATGTCCTGGATATCCAAACTAAACAAAAAGGATTGTCTAAAGGTGTTCTTCAGAGGACTCTCTATTGTAAGTTTGTGATGTCGCCGTCCGAGCAATATTCATAAATTGATATTTGTTGATGTTGCAGATCTTACTGTTAATTCTGTTTCAGATCGGTATGACTCTTGTGGCCTATTTTGTGGTGTGCCTTGCCGTTTATGGGTTTATTGAGCTATATTCCACCTGGAAGTGCGAGGATACAATGGAAGCCTTTGTGACGCAACTAAGCTCCCACAGCAGTAATTTAGATGTTGTCACCACCGAAAGCCTAATGTCTCAGCGTTTATAAAGTTAAATCCGGACCAGATGTTACAATTCGAATTAGAAAACCAATAATTTAAAGGAGATTTCCATATTTACCCCTTTTAATTCGAAAAATAAGAAATGTTTTTAATTTAAGAAATGTTTTGAATAAGGAAGAGGGTTTCTGGGACCGGAAAGCCAAGCTCTTAAATAAACAAGTTTCGTTTTTAATTCAAAAATGGTTGCACTTCTTTATCAAAATTCCATCAAGACTTGGTTAGTGAATTTAATAAAAATAAAAATTTTAATTACTTGTCAGAAAAAAATCGTCAAAATCAAATCGTCATAATTTTTCAAAATCGTTAAAAATTAAAAGATACGGATTCATATGCATTTGTTTGAACGATGTGGCAGCACACGAAAAGAAATCGATAGTCGATAACTCGATAATCGCTTTTTGTTTATTGTTAAGGCAAATATTAAAAATAGATTATTTCAACGAACCAATAATATTTTTAAACTATAAATTTCAGTTTCCATACAACATGAAGCCGGAGGAAGAGTTGCTATTATTCCGGGACTTTCAGCGCCTAAGGAGCTGCAAGCACGACGATGAGAAGGTGTCCACAGCAACGTCCCGCGAGCAGGTGAGTAATCCCTCCGGTATTGCTTTAAGCGGCTAAAGATAAGAGCCATTGCTTTTTCCAGCAAAAGACTGAGATCTCAATAGAGAAATGCTTCGACCGCTTCGAAGCACAGCTTTTTACACACCCGCGCCTTTCCCAGTTCTTCCGTTTGGAGCACCAGCACTACTTGGACACGATGTTGCGCCGGTTGCCGCCCAACTACGAGTGCCTGGACAGCAGCCGACCTTGGTGCATCTACTGGATCCTGCAAGCAGCTCAATTGCTGAGTTTTAACTTTGATGATAAAACCCAAGATCAGGTGGTGCAGTTCCTTACCAAATGCCGTGCTCCAACGGGTGGCTTTGGCGGAGGTCCTGGCCAGTATGCCCATCTGGCACCCACATACGCAGCGGTGAACAGTCTGTGCATCATCGGTACGGAGGAAGCCTACCGTGCCATTGACCGACCAACGCTGGTGCAATTCCTGTTCAGCGTGCGAGAAGCAGACGGCTCCTTCCGCCTGCATGTAGATGGAGAAACGGACGTGAGGGGCGCATACTGCGCCATTTCGTGCGCCAAGGTAGTCAATCTGCCGGATCCTGTGCTCCGAGAGCTGTTCGCTGGTACCGGCGACTGGATAGCTGGATGCCAAACGTATGAAGGTGGATTTGGGGGCGCCCCCGATCTGGAGGCTCACGGGGGCTACACATTCTGCGGCATTGCCGGCCTTGCCTTGCTTAACGAAGCGGACAAGTGCGATAAGCAGGCTCTGCTTAAATGGACACTGCGACGCCAGATGCGGTATGAAGGCGGTTTTCAGGGTAGAACAAACAAGCTGGTGGATGGATGCTATTCTTTTTGGGTCGGAGCCACCATACCCATAACGCAAGCCACGCTCTCCGCAGACGACAAGGAAATGGATCACGCTCTGTTCGATGTAGAGGCACTGCAAGAGTATATCCTACTTTGCTGCCAGAAGCAGAACGGTGGTCTCATCGACAAGCCAGGAAAGTAAGTTCATCTAAAAGTTTAGTTTCGCTTCAAATAAAGCTCACCTTTATTTTTCAGACCCCAAGATCTGTACCATACGTGCTATACCCTAAGCGGAGTGTCCATTGCCCAGCACTCGGAATCCGCCAGCCGCCCTCAAGTCCTCGGGGACACCATCAATGAGCTTCTGCCCACCCACCCGCTGTTCAACATCCCACCAAAGTCCGTGGCGGCAGCCCGAAGTCACTTTGACAAATGCAACGATATGGAGTTCGCTGGTAGCGACAGTACCTGAAGGGAAACGATTAGAGGGACAGAAAGTATGCTTAACAAGGAAGATATGATCTTTCTACTGGGACATTTGATTCCACTAAAAATTTTTGAACCAAATTTTCAACTTCAATAAACTTATTTTGAACTGCATTTATGTATATACTACGTCTGGATTAAAATCTGCAAAAATTTCCATATATTTTGTCAAATCTTTTTTGGGGATCCCCTTCAACATGGTGAAAAATGCATTGAGGACCAATATAAGCTTCAACAAAGGCCTTAAAAGCTTTCTACATTGATTCTCCATCAATCTAAATCAAAACCCAGGAACAAAATATTTTGTAGATTTTTTGTCAAATTTTCTGGGTAGATTGAGGTCGATTATCCATCTTTGAAATTCTGAAAAATAGGAATATAATATACATCAGATATTTTTTCAAATTTTCTATAGTTCTCTCCTATATTATGGAAGGATAAATATAAAGAAATAAAGACATAAAATGTTTGTTATTTTGAATTGTAACTTATTTATTTTTCGGTATTTTTATCGCAATTGGTGATGGCGGTTGTTTGGTGTGACTGTTTCTCGTTGTGAATGTCACAGCTTCTTCCACAAATTTTAGGAATTTCTTTTAAATTTAAGTGATTACTCCGTCTAATGTTTTCTAGTCATCGGAACCTAAGGAAGAGGACACCTGCGGAGGGAATAGAGCGACCGGAGTACATCGCTCATTTAGTGGATGAGTATTACACGACCACCAACGTAGGTAAGTATAGCAACTTGTTGCTGTTATGATGTCCCCTTAATTTTTTAAATTTTTTATATTTTAGAGGCGCAGGAACAGGTCACCGCCAATTTGGCAAACTTTTCCTATGACCCTATTAACTGGCCTTATTTACTTCAGGCCGAAGCCCTCGATGTGTTTGCGGCATCTCTAGAATCAGCAAATCCCCATCTGAAACTGCATGGAGTCGCAGCCTTGTGTAACATTTGTTTGGGTAAGAAATCAGTATTTCCCTAAGTTCTTACTAGAATTTTTTTCACTTTCCAGACAAATCAGCGGCGAAGTTTATCAGGGAACATCTCAAGCTAATTACCGACTTGTTTGTGCGCACGGACCACCCAGAAATTGTGCTCCACAGCCTTACGCTCTTTTATCAGCTTTTGGAGGCCGGCGAATTCGACCGGGAATTGCTTCTTGTTCCGGTTGTTCTGAGGACTGTGCAAGAGTGGAGGCAAAAATCGGACGACCTCCGCATCGTTCAGCTCTGTCAGCTGTTGCTGGAAGATTTCGCCACTAGGTCTGAGATTATCGAACTGCAGAATGCTGCGACAGCTCTGCCGGCACTGGAGCAGCCAAGCACCAGCCGGGCTGCAGCAGGTGCAACTGACTAAGCGCTTTACACAGCAAGACCTGGAAAAATTTGCCCGGTTCACGGGAGACTACAACCATATACACAGCCAAGACATACCAGTGGAGGAGCGACGAGTGCACGGCGCCCTCCTCAACGCTGTTGTGGCTGGCATAATTGGAACAAAGTTGCCGGGACCAGGAACCGTAGTGCTGGAACAGAACTTCCGGTTCCTTAAACCTTGCCGCATTGAAACGGACACCGTAGTGACGGTACGGCTGATGAAATCGCGCAAGATATCCACCGTAGAATATGACTGCCGGCAGAACGATGAGGTCGTTTTTGCCGGAAACGCGAAGCTACTAACCCGCCTCCAAAAGCAGATTTAACTTAATAAAACATTAACATTTAGTATATTTTGTACATTATTTCTTGGAGGCTCGTTTGCCCTCTCCCTTTTTAGGAGGCGCCTTGCCACGCAGCTTGCGCAACCGCTTCATTTCCTCCTTGAAATCCTGGTGCTCATCTCTGAACAGTCCGTAGTCGCGCAGGTTCTTCATCAGCAGATGCGTTTCCACGTGCCGGGGGTACCAGTTGACTACATAGTCGCGCTTGTGGATGGGCTCCTCAGCGAACATGCGAACAACCTGGAGCAAGAGTATATTCTTGGTAAAAACATTTTCAATTTACTTGGACGGACGAACCTTCATGGACTTCTCATTTGTGTTGCGGGCAACTTCTCCAAAAATGCGATTTGACAGATAGTTCATTCGCCGGGCATACTGGGTGCCAAGCTTAATTAAGTCGGTATATTTGTGCGACATGTCTAGTCGCTTTTTATTGTTAATTAATCTAAATTTCCATTCAACAAGACTGTTTGTTGTGACTATTTGGTGGTTATGTCACGAATCGGACAGATGATGAATCGAATCTGATTTATCGAAAAAAGTTCCATATCTACGGTATGGCGGCAGATTTAAAATTTTTCAATACTCCATCTCATACCTATCAAAAATAAAAACCATCTTCGCTTAAATTAAAATTCGTCAAAACAACTTTTATTTAAAATGAAAAGCAAATAGAGTATACCACCGGATAAGTTAAATGGAATAACAAAGTTTTAGCAACAGTCTAAGCATAAATTTTGTTAGTTTAACACTAGAATTTTTAAGCTAATCTAGACCGTTTCTATAGCTCCCCGGCGCCTGGCCTCAGAGCCACTTGCAGAGTCAGTTGCATCGTTGCCGATAAAGGAGGTCTCCTCAGAGCTTTGCACCGCTATCACCTCACGACCCATTGGCACACCGTTCAGCTGGCTAAGAAGAGCATTCGTGCCGATCAGTGGTGCTTCTCGTGGGGACCCGCTGTGCACGGAAATTTGATCATAAAGGTGCATACGACTGGGTGTGTGGGAGCGGGAGGCAGGCGAATGGTTACCGCGTGAGTGCGGACTGTTGGTGCGCGAGTGCTGGAAGTCCTCCAGAGGTATTTCCTCTGAACTGAATACAAGATTAATATTAATTTAAACTCTCAAATAGATAGGCTACCTATTACCGCGGTCTGGGCATCCTGGGACTGTTGTCACGTGATCGGTTACCGGTACTTCTAGGCTGAGAGTTTTCCCGCGATTGCGAAGATGTTTGACTGCACAAGCTTACACTAGGCGACCTCTCCCGGTCAGAGTGATCCGGCCTCAGATTCGATCCCATTGTGGAGTTAGGACTGCGTCGCCTGGAGCGACCTGCGCTTTCGTTTCGAATGCTAATGACAATAGACAATAAAAATGTTTTCCTAAAAATGATACACTACTTAATTACCCCTCGATTGACCGGTTTTGGGCCATTTGGGTTCGGCTAACTCCAGCGCTATTGCCTCCTCTCAGTACTGCTGCAAATCCTGGAACGCGGTTCGCCGTTGAAAACATAGGTCGGTGGTGGCCACTGCGCGAGCTGCTTCCGCTGCTATTCGCGCTGCCACTCCCAGAAGGGACCGCCATTGTCCCGCCCACGGCAAATACGGGAGAATCCATCTGACCAGGGATCTCAATGAGCTGTGCGATTTGGTACATCTTTTTCTGGCGCGCTTTGCTGCGACCCTTAGTCAGTCGTTGCTTAGCGGCCATGCAGCGGATATGGTCGTCAAACAGGAACTTGGCAGAGAGAAGCGGGGTACGGTTATGAGTAACACCGCCTCGGTGGACCGTGATGTGGAGACATCGGGAATCATCCTTATCACCTTGCACCTCCACGTCCTGCAGGAAGCCCACGAACTTGGCTACACCCCAGCCGAGCAGCTTGGCATCTGGTTCTACGAGGATGAGTTGCAGAGCGTCAATGACGAGGAATCGCCGTTGTTTGCTGCTGTCTTTTGCAACTACGGTACACGCGATTAAGTCGCTGTTGTCTGCAAAAATTCATTGAAAAGATTTACTTTTTAACCAAACAAGCATACTTACTTAAATCTAGCACATTTTCCACTTGGACGAGATTTACGGCATTCGTCAGGGGCAGCAGGCTCTCCTTCTCGTTGAGAAACTTTTGGCACGTGCGGCGTAGCAGAAAGTAAACGCGGATGGCCCGTCTGGCCTTCTCCACCTCCCCGCAAGGTAAACGACGTGTAAAACCAATACCCGTGAGAGGAGTTCCTGTTGGCGGCAGTAGTATTGCAGAATCCATGCACAAAAACTCCACATTCAACTGAGCCTTGCGCATCTCATTGTACTCATCCTCAAACAGGTCTAGAAAGATGTCTTCCGACTTGTAAAAGTTTCTCAAAACCACCATTGACTGATTTCGGGCGCTAAAGAGCAGATCCTGTTGGGAGGGGGTGATGCAGCGGGCCTCATCGGAGTTGGGTCTAGTAAAAGTAACCAGCAGTTCCAGGGCGATCTCAACAGTTATTAGACGAATGCGGCAGGCTGGAATAAGATAATTATATGTATATTTCTCATTAAAATCGAAATGAGTAATCAAGGGGACTTACATGGCTGACTGGACTGGGTGATGATGTTTAGCAACTGCTCTATCAGCGCCGTCTTGTAGCTAAATGAGCCTCTTGTTGACTTTGCTAGAACTTGCTCAAACCACTCATTCTTAATACCTGCGTACAAAATATCATGTTAGTAGATGCTTTATTAATGAAACGATTCTCAATTAGTACGAAGAATGGACAAGTTACGTACCATCTAGACATGGCGGGGAGAGGTGCCAGAATGTAACATAGAAAGCAGTTAATAGAGCATGATTGGTGAAATCAAAGTTGTGAAAAATTACAAAGCATTAGCCCACAGACGGTAACAATAAGTTAGTGCAGAGTGAAGTGAACCTACCTCTGTTGTGCGACATGGCGTAGATGAGGCACAATGACAGCAGAGCTAGATAGTCATTTTCAGTACAATCCAAGGCATGTAGAACTGTATCCAAGAACGGCTTGGCCAGCTCACCAAAGTCCGCTTTCGCGGAAGAGGTCGACTGCTGCAGCCTCTGCTTCTCTTCATCTGTTATGTTGCGCAGTTTTAGATCCTCCGAAGTCATGGCTTCTGCTTGAGACTCCGCTTCCGTGGCTGCCGGGGAGGAAGACTCAACGCCACTGTCTTCGCTTAAAGCATAGCTGGAGGTACTTCCCTGACCCGTGACCGTATCCAGGGCCTGCTCAAGACTCTCAACAGGTTCCCCAAAACCGGGTACCACAACCTCACGGCGCTCCACATATGAATTTAAGATCTCGGCAGCGCCTTCCTTGAACACACTATGATCGCCGTTAAGGATCACCCAGGCGAGAGCATGAACCAACGGGGCGTGAGAGACAACCAAAAACACCAGCGATAGCAGGTATAGAGCTACGATAGAGCTCACGCGCGGATGCTGTATCTCTTGGATGTCGATATCCACGTTACGATTGAGGACGGCTGCAAGGTTCTGGGTGACCACTGCAAGCGAGGGCGGAGGAGGAGCTGGCGTTAAGGAAAATATATACAAGGGCACAAACAACTTGTGCAGCAGGTGCTCCGTGAGCACTGCGTTCAGATCTTTTATGTCCAGCAGCAAGATGTCACTTAGATAGTGCAAGTGGTCCAGGTGCTCTGCCACCAAGTTGGATAGTTTCTGGTTCGATTGATGGCTGTAACGAGATAATAGCATTAGAAAGGATAAAAGGAAACTCGTAGGGATATATCTTACTCGATGTCCGTGCGAACACATGTATCCAGCTCGAGAATATGCTTACCAATAAACCAAACCAAGTTGCTAAAATAAGGGGCTGCCGTTCTAATATAATAGTATAGTATAGTTAGTATAACAATTTAATATTAAGATTAAGGTGACGTACTTGTCTCTAATAAAACGCAACATGCTGGAGTTCTGCACCTTGTAGACGTTCAGGGAAATTGTACGTACTGCAATCCTCACCATGGACTCTGGGTGATTAAAGAACTTAATGGCTTCCGTGTACAACGGAAAGTCGTTTGTGTGCTAAAAAGAAAAAAAATTATATATAAAAGAGACTTGATTAACTTTATAAGCTCTACCTCGTTATAAAAGAAATGAATAGTATGAGTGTTAAGCTTTAAACTCAGCGTCTTAAGGAAGAGGATATAGTAGCCCATTACATCCTCATCGGAAAAATCGAACTTGTGCACCATAATAGAGTTTACATGGTTATTGCTCAGCAGATAATCTGAAAGAGTGATGATTTACCCAAAGTATTAAATTTACATTTTAAGAAAACTTACACAGCGATGTCTCATTCCTGATATTCTCGAACAGAATGTTAAGAGTCTGAAGCAACTGAACACATACGAAGCTAGAGCCTCCGCTCTTTTGACGCATGATGTGCAGGAAGTAGGAGAGCATATTCTTCTCCAAAAAGAAGCTGCAAAAAAGATAAGAAACATATAGTAAACTACGAGGGCGCAGATAAGTGTGTACCTACTCGAATACTAGAGAATCGTGCTGGTCACCCCAGATGAGGATCTCAGCAATGCATCGCAGTGATTCAACCAGCAGACCGCGATTGTTCTCAGATACTGTGGTGTTCTTCTCCAAAATACTGTACAGGTACTTGAGGTGCTCCAGGGACAAACGGTTTTTTGGCCGCCCGCCCCAAGGACCGCCAAACCAGCTACGGCTGCGGAACATGCTGGCAACTGGTTTATAATCAACTAGCCACTGTCCACCTGGATGCTCTCATATCAGGGTGTGAATGAGCGGATTGGTAAACGCACCACTGCCACCAGCCACGAAACCTATTGAGCCTTGAATCAGATTCGCCAATTGCTTGTGAGTGTACGTTTCGAATTTTGTAATTGGCAAATTGCGATTCTTTTTTCAACAATACAAACACACTTCTTCTTCACGAGAATACAAGTGTCACAGTCAGCTGTTGCTTTCATAATATTATCGTTATCGAACAGTGTTGGTAATCGTTATAGGATTTGAAACAAAGAGCTTCTTTAAAAACAGAGCTTCTAATGAATGTTTTTAATTAAACTTGAATCAAACAACTCGAAAAAAGAAGACCCAAAACTAATATTTATAAATATGTTCAAATATTGGTGTAAACATAATGGTTCTATTTTCCTTTATAATTTTAAATAAATTACCCCTGAATTATCCAACATAATTTTAACTTTAAATAATCAGTTTTGCATTATCCTTAAAAGAGTTTTATTTTTACTAACACTCACGTCACCGCTCTTAACTAGCTAGGGTTTTGGTTGAAGTTTATGGAATAGGAACCTGTATTAGGATCCTGTTGCATTTGAAAGTTTTGAGTGGATAGGCCAAAGGGACGCAAAATCATGTTTCCCAGGTTTTTAAGATTCGACATCATCTCGGTCTTGAGCTTTTCGTTTCGCTCGTTAATAATGGGCGGGAGGCGGATCAAAGCCTCTCGCGCTTCCTTCTGGCCAGGATCAAGCTCAGATACTTTTTTGTAGTCTGCCAGTGCCTCGTCAGGTTTGTCGTCTTGTTCATAGAGCTTAGCACGCCTGTAACACAGAACGATAATAACCATTAGTTTCATTTATTACACTCCCTAAAAGAGTGTGAATCACCTAAGCAGCGCTCGTAGATACTCCGGCCACAGTTCGATGGCCTTTGTGCAGTCGTCAATGGCGGATTTGTTGGCCTCCAGCTTCATCTTGGCAGCGGCTCTGTTCCCGAAAAGCACAGCTCGCTCCTTTGAGTTGTCAGAGGGGCATACATTCAAAGCATCGGTGTACACTTTGACGGCACCATCTGCCTGGTCGTTCTTGAACAGCTCATTTCCCTCGAGCTTCAATTTGTTGGCTTGTTCCTTGTTCGCCTCCAGTTCCTCAGGGCTCAAGTCCTTTTCCAGCTCCCGCAGCTCGTCAACTGAAAGCTCTTCGTCAATCTGCTTTGTAGTCGCATCTCCTGGTTGACCATCTCCTGCTGCCGAATCCTCGTTTTCTTCGCTCAGACTCAACTGGCTATGTTGCTCCACAATCTTGTCCACTTCTTTCTCATCCAGATGCTTGGCAGTTTCTTCATGTCCGGTGATCTGTTCGCCTAGGGCATCCTGGAACTCGTCGTCGCTGTTGGGGTCTGTCATATTGGCATTTAGTTTTAGGTGTGTTTACTGGAAATTTCGCTTGGGCAGCAACAAATAGTGCCTCATGCCCTCCGATGACGTTGCCTATCGATGACTAGGCGGGTGTGCTTGCCAGTGTTGTCGCTTATTTCAGCTATATTTTTGGCGCACAAGTTTATGAATAATTAATATTAATAAACAGTATTATGGAAAAACAATTCACCCTAATTAATCACAATAAATAGGTATGAATTATTTTCAATACTATATATTTTATATATTAAACAGCTGATTCACTTAAACCGCCACCACTAGCAGAAACCCAAAAGGAACTACGACAACTTTGAGTCATGACGTCTGAAACGCCGATTTTTCAAAATATTGACATAGAAGCCTATATCTTGAATGAATACATTCCCGCTAAGCCTCTGGATGTGAATTTGGAAGTTCATTTTAGTGATTCGGAGCTTGTAAGGAGTGTTCATAGATATAGAAAGATTCTAAACAACTTTTTTGCAGGCATCTACGGAAGCATGTGCACAGCTGAGATGCGGAGACGTTTTGAAATTCCCATTTGTACGTCCGGGGCATCAGCCGAGGGCAGTGGCGATAAGAAAGAGCGAGGTTCTCGTTTCAGAAGATGCGGCAACGGAAACAAAACGCGTGGTGGAGCTTACACTGGAATCCCCGGACTTATTTGAATTCCAACCAGGAGACACCATCGCCGTTCTACCAAGCAATGATGGGAAGCTAGTGGACAAGTTGCTGGATCGCCTCGATCTGATGTCTAAGGCAGACACGATGTGCAACGTGAAGCTTGCACTGATCTGTGCCAAAAAAGGCGCCAAAGTTCCAGCGCACATTCCGCAGACTACGAGCCCTCGGGAGATCCTTACCCACTGTCTGGCACTCAATGCTGTTCCACAGAAGCAATTTCTTAGCGGACTAGCTGGTTTTACTGAAAATAAAAAGGAACGCAGCTTCCTGGCCTGCCTATCTTCAAAGCAGGCCGCGTCTTCCTACAGTGAACTTGTTTTAGAGCGTGGATTCTGCTTTTTAAACATTCTGGAGATCTGTGCCAGCTGCAGACCCTCCCTAGCCTTCCTGGTGGAGCACTTACCACGGCTGTTGCCACGTCCATACTCACTATCCAATAGTCCTTTGGCGACCGGACCCCAGGAGCTGCAGATAATCTACTCGATCCTCAGCCAAAACCCCGGAGTTACAACCAGCATGATGGAATCGAAAGCCCATAAAATCGACAAAGGGGAGCCCGCTGAAATTGTTGTTTATCCCCGGTTAAGCAATAATTTCCGATACACGGAGGATCTTTCCAGCAATCAAATCCTCATTGCTGTGGGCACGGGCGTAGCTCCTTTTCTTGGCTTCCTATCCCACAAAGAGCAGCTCCTAAATCAACAGTCCCAAAGGGACATAGGAAAGACCTGGCTTTATTTAGGCGCCAAGACAACGCGAGCTACTCTGAATCTGGACCAACTCCTAGTCTGGCAGCTGACCTCAGTGCTGCAGCGACTTCGCATGTGTCAATCGCGTGGAGAGTCTCCCTGCTACGTGCAACAGCTACTGGAGGAGGATTCGGAGGAGCTGGTCCCGTTGCTATTGGAGGCCAATACGGTGCTCTATGTGTGTGCTGACGGGGCCAAAATATCCCAGTCTATTGCTAGTGGCTTGATCAAGTGCCTCCAGACAGCTCTGCATCTCTCAGAAGAAGAGGCGGCACAAAAGCTTAAGGAGCTAAGAGCCCAAGGCAAATACCGCGAAGATGTTTGGTTATAAAGAGCTTCTACTTAGCTTTTCTTAGAATAAAAATAGTTTGGTTGTTGTCTTAATGTTTAAATAGTTTTGTTGAACTACTTTTTACTTTCCATGTAACACCTGTAATTAGTTTAAGAGAAAAAACACTTTGGCTTTGGTCGAATAAGTAAATAACGATATATTTAACAACACAAAATAAAAATTACAGTGCAGTCTAAACTAAATACATACAATTGTGAAGGATCCTCTTCAATGATCGAAAATGGATGGGGGCGATTACGAGTACGAGAACTAAATGGATTTGGGTCGGTGCGTAAGGTACACTTAACTGGTAAATCGAAAAATAATAACTCTAAATAGCGGTAGAAAATACGATTACGACTTAGGATTCAAAGCGAAAAAATACGTGTGTACAATTAACATATAGAACTTAATGTGGAAATTTGCTCGGTGAATTAAAGCAACCATTAAAGTGATAAATTATCGTTATTTTTCCTTCACTCTCTGCCGTTTCTAAATACCGATATCTGCGTACTGTTTATCATATACTGTTTAAAGTTTATTTTGGCAAGTCGGTCCTTGCGGTGACCTTGCACATTAATATGCATTTTGCTTTTTGTATTTTAACTACGTTTAAGTTATAATTGAAATAGCGCCAATCCTGGTCGTCTATATTAATATAATTACGAATCGATCAAAATTGATTTCGGCTTCACTCGTCGTATATATCTTTACAATTGCAATAAAAGTTTCGTATAAAAAATTATGCTACCTCTTGTTGTTTCTTTGTTTATTTGAAGACTTATGTTTCGTTTACGTTTACTTTAATAATTGCAATAATTGCGTTCGTCTTAAATGCGTTTGCGAATATGTAGAGTCGGGTATGTCTCGGTTGGTTACCAAAAAGGGCCATCAAATCCTTTTTTTATCCTTCTGTCATTTATGTCCTTACAACAATACTACCGTTCGTTGACTTGTCTAATACTCATTTAAGCTAAACTAAGAAAATCAAGTATATTTTCGATTAATCGTTAAGCTCTTTGAAAATTATGGATGCATTAATTTTACGCCAAAAAAGTATTAATTTTTTTTTTAATATAAATTTAACTATGAACCGATCTGCAGCAGCAGCAATCAATGTGATACTAAATGTCCGAATTGAAAGCAAAATATAATCCCTAGCCCCTAATATAACATTTTTTAAGAATAAGCCAAATATTCTTTCCTCCTTCGTTGTATTTTAAGCTGAGAAGATAGCGACTAGCCATGGACACTCTTTCCGATAATTATTTGTTGGGTGATAGCATCAGAATTGAACTAAAAAGACTAATTAGAAAATTAACATTTTGGCTACACGATTAATTATATCAAGAAATTCTCTCTCATTGCATTTTGATGTTTGGCATTGCTCGTAATTCCCGATGGGACTAGGTTTAGTATATGCATCCTCTCGTTAAGGATATACTGTGCTTTGACACATACATTATACGGGTTAGATGTAAAACAGCTCTATGGTGATAGGGTTATGGCCAAACCTGACAGGAAGAGTCTGTGTATTCTTTGTTGCATTTATATATCGGTTAGTCTCAAATTTGTACTTATTTAAAATGGAATATCAATTAGTTGTTCTCTCAAGCCAGTCATAGCTAATATACATGCTCCGGCTAGTTTTCTAATTAATTAGCTATCTGTGTGATATCTGTTCTTTTGTGGGAAAGACATAAATTGTGGAGATAATTTCTCAGTTTCTCAGTTTTGTGTGCTTGTTGCTGCTGATGCTGATGCGTCGCTTGCTGCTGCTAGCTCTAGTCCTAATGGCACTTGTTACAATCATTTCCACTCGCTACATTTATCGCCTTTATTTTTTTATAGTTTTTTTTTTTAGTTTTTTGTTTTTGGTAATTTACAACAAGTATATTGCATGATCTCTCTCTCTGTGTTTATGGGTTCGGTTTCACTTACAGACTAAGACGAATTTTATATAGAATTGCATAATGCAGATTTGATAAAATCGCTTAAATCACAATTATGTATATATACGGGTATATAAGGAGTAAACCAACTTATTTCCATACAGTTAATAATACAGTATCTATGTATAGTGTATATCATATGTGCGTGTTTGTGTGCGTGGTAATATACATTGGCGCAATGTACGAAGTAAGGCTAATTTGCCATAGGACGACAATCTAATCTAAGCGATAACTCCTCCCCCCCCTCCGCTGTCATCTGATAATTGTGGCGAGCAGTGCGAGGTGGATCCAGCAGGAAAAGTTTACTCAATTTCCGTCCATCCGTCCACTACTCCTCATTGTATCCATAAAAGGGTTTTACGTGCTGCAAAAAATGAGAATAATATATGGTTAAAATTTTATAGATTTTATACTCTTTCAAGCAGAAAAGCAAGAGGAAAATGGCAGCGCAATAATTAACATCTCCGACCTGCCGTAATTGCCGTAACCCTGAACACATGAACTATACTATATACGACCATGGGCATACAACTACTATATAGCATGCTAAGTTTTTTGATAAAATTTGTAGCTTAAACTATAATAAGGGTTTAAAGCTCTTCGAGGTCTAACTTTTAGTTTTTCAAATCTATAATTTTTAACTAAAAGGAATGTTGCTACTACCTACACTTGATTTGTACCTACACTTGAACATTTTTACGAGTGCTTGAAAATAGAATTTGTTGGCCGGCCAGGCGAAATATATTAATCATACAAATGTTACGTTATCAGCAGTACCCTTCTTATCAACGCTTTTGATCCAACCAGCTGATTATATGACGGCAAAGAACTCGTTAAATATAGACGTCCACTCAGTCCCCTCGGCCCAGGTAGGCCTTGAGAGGGAGGGTTGAGGTCAGCCGAACTGCATAATATAATTAATAATGCATTATCAGTACCATTTATAAACTGGCGATGGCTTGGAATGAGGTTTCCTACATTTTGGTCGCCTATTTGTTGCCCTCCTCCCCCCTGGTTGTCATTAGCAAGTGTGTCGCATATAAAGCGGGGAGCCCAAAGCGGTTGGTTGCCTATTGTTATGCCCCATGGGAGAGGATCAATTATCAGCGCAGTAATTTTTTGTATATTTATCGGCATGTGAAGCGGGAGTAGTCACGCTTGGATTTCAATGAAGTCCCTGAGAGCTCCAGCTCCGAGCCCCAGTTTCAGATTCAGATTCAGATCCGGAGAGCAGTGAATGAAGTTCTCTGAGCTCCAACCTCAATTGGAATACTTGTGGATCGTGTTGAAATGCATTACATTACGATCCAATGAGTCGGTTCCAATGCACAATAATACTTATAATATACTCATTTCCACGTTTGGCGCACTTGTGAATGCAGCGAGTGCATGGATGCGATGCGATGCGATGCCTCTTTGTGTGTGGATGAGTCTGCCGCAGACATGGAAACTCTGACAAAACGTTCGCTCGAAAGTGTTGCCAAAGCGGATTCATTATAATTTGCATTGCCGACTTGCGTGAACCAGCAGGGGGGGGGAGGGCTTTACATACATACATGTGTACAAAAACACCCCTTTGATTGTGGGGGGGTGGGGGAGAAAAAAAATGCGAAACCCCGAAAAGTACTGGATGATTCATATAAAATTCCGCATAGCTACCATGAAAAAAAAAAAAAACAAAACAAGAAACTTGTGTGTGGTTCAATAAACGAGACTCATACACACACACACACACTATGTGGGCTAACAAATACTGCCGAAAACGAAAACCTTTGGCGCAAGGTGAAATTATCATTTGGCGGCGCCATTCGAAATCGAACTACTAGTGAGTGGTTTAGTCATTATTTCTTGGGTTTTGGGGCGTCGCTGGCCAGACTACCTACCAACCTACCTACCAAAGTATTTCAATGTCGGTGGGGAAGGCCCTTTCACTCCATCTCTCTCGAGGGAGAGAGGAGTTGTACTTTGGACTATATCGTAGAACACATTTCAATATTGGCGAAATTCCCATCCCATGTGGAAAATCCGTCTCTCTCTTTCCAGCACCAGACATTTTCCATTTCTACGGAAATGGAAGCGGCCATCTCTCCTCCTCCTACGAGGAGTATCGCAAAACGGAAAGCAAAAGTGTACATCACTAATATAAACAAATAAAGAGCCTAGCGGAGACCGGTAGGAGTTGGCAGCCCAAGACATGCACGAAATTGGGAGTGGGAGGGGGAGTGTATAAATAGCCAGCGAAGACGCGACGTCGCGTCGCTGCAGTCCCCCAACATTTATTTTTTTTTTATTTCTTGTCCGTTGCAGTGCCAGCAATTAAATTGAGTAAGTGGGAGGTTGAGCGAAGAAGAAGACTCGAAGAAGATACATACTCTCATCATCATTCTTTGTGTGGCACGAACACACCCAGGCCAGCCGCCCATCCTGGCCAGGGCTTCTTTCTCTTCTCTTATCGCCTTCAAAAAAAAAAGCACAAAATTTCTTCTAGGAACTTGATTATTTCTGCAATTCTTCCTAAACTTCCAGGGGGACTTACAATATCACTTGTAGAGTATGTACTCCCCTGATAAGGCCTATAAAGATACAATTTCTCCGCAAGTGTGGGTGTCGTTTGTGTGTCGGTGAATTAAAGTTTTGTTTTTCCATTATGATGTATATGTATGTATATATTTTTTTTTGGCCAGACAATGCGGTATTCCAAACAGGAAATGCGAACGAGCGTGTTAAATTGCGTACTTAGTTGTTATTTGTTGTTGTTGCTGGAGAGGAGCGTCTTCACATTCGTTTTTTTTTGGTTCATTGTCAGTTTTCAATGGGAATGTCTGTATCCACAACATACAACAACAAAAAAAGCATAAAAACGTAACAAGTCTCTGCATGTAACACACGTAATATTTAGGTAAGGTAAGTAAGAGATGGCTGGTATAAGGCTTTCAAAAGAAAGTAAAGCCACTCCTTCAGGAAACCCTCAGGACTCTGGCATGAAAGGGTAATGAAAAGTTAGTACTAGATTAGTTTTTCTTGATTTTTATATAAATAATCATGTAATTACACAACAAGATGCTTATTTTATTAAAATTTATAATCATAGTTGTGAGAAACTACTCATAAACCCACTCCCTTTGTAAAACTACAGACATTTTCCAACCAAAACCCTTAAGAAACCTCGTGCTCCCCATGCCGACCTTGATCGAAATTCAATTTATTGTTTGAACCGGAGCTACTAGCTGATTAAACATGCCCTGATAGCCAACTATCGCTGTTTCGGGCCCGGTCATTTGACAACTTTCGAGAGGTTGGTTGCGAAAAGGTTTCCGTCGAAAACGAAGATCACTTTGCATGAATAATCTCAGACCAGCGCTACCGCTACTACCTGGAATTAAAGGTATTTTGGGACTTACCTGATTTCGACGGGGAGTGGCAGAGTCCTAGTCCTGATCTCGCTATTTCTATGGTTGTACATACACACTACAAAGACTACGGTCAGCATTCTGTTCCAGTTCCGGTTCCGGTTGCGTCGTCCACACAAAACAAATTTACATTGAAAACTCATTATTCACAAAGGCAGCAGGCCCCATCCCAGTACCCAGTCCCAGTCACAGTCCCAGTCCCGATACCGATCACGCGTAGAGCAGCCTGGCCGCACGGTGATTGCACAGCAACTATACGTTGCGACGGAGCACTTTCTTGGCCGCCTTGATGTTGGGCACCAGTGCCTTCACCTCGCTGCAGTCGTTGAGGAAGGGATGGAAGAGCAGCTCGTCGGCCGTGGCCCGCCGGTCCACCTCCACCTGGAGGCAGCGGTCGAGGAAGTCCTGCAGATTGGGACTGAGCTTGTCCCAGCTCTTGATGTCCGGCCGGCCGTTGGCGGCGATCAAGTAGAGGGCGCGGAGCGGGGTTTCGTAGAGATAGGGCGGCTGGCCCTCGATCATCTCGATGGCCATGATGCCGATGGACCAGATGTCCACCTTCTTGCCGTACTTCTTGCGCGTGACCACCTCGGGCGCCATCCAGTACGGAGTGCCCACCATCGTCTGGCGCTTCTCGTCGCCCTCGATGTTGGCGCAAAAGCCAAAGTCAGTCACCTTCACGCAGCCGTCCATGCCGAGCAGCACGTTGTCCGACTTGATGTCCCGGTGGATGATGCCCTTGGCGTGCAGGAAGCTAATGGCATAGAGCACCTCGCGGCAGACGCAGGCGATCTGGCGCTCCTTCATCACAGTCTCGGTGACGACGTCGGTCAGCGGGCCGCCGTCCATGTACTCCATGACCACCCACAACTGATCCTCGGGCTCCAGCAGGTAGGCATCCAAAAAGTTAACCAGATTCTTGTGGTTGAAGTCTTTCAGCACCCTTATTTCGGTGAGGATGAGGTCCTTGGAGGACTGGTTCTTCATGTCGATCGTCTTGACGGCCACCTGGGACTCGTTCTGCAGGTCGCCAGCGATGAACACGATTCCGGAGGCGCCCTTGCCCACCTCCTGGGTAGTCTTGTATCGCTCGCGGGGATCCTCGGGATTGCAGATGGCTCGCAGCTCATCGTAGATCTCGGCGTCGGTTTTCTGCGTCCGCTTCTCCTTCGACCGGCGCAGTATCGTCTCGTCCGGGTTGTCGTCGCCTCCGGCGTCTATGTGCTGGCCCGTGGCCGCCGGCTTGATGATGATCGTGTCTGTGTTGATCTTGTGAGGCTGTTCGCCGTCCTCCTCCCGCCGCAGGTCGGAGGCGCGCGAGAACTTCTGAGTAACCCGGGGTTTGGGCTTGATTTGTGGCTTGGGGGCCATGGCGTGCGGTGACTTCTTGGGCGGCACTGGCGGTGGCTCCTGTAGCGAGGGTGGTGTCGCCTTCAAGGTCTCACGGTGTTCCAGGCTGGACTTCAGCTCCTTGAATACCTCTTCCAGGGCATCCAGTGGCACCGCCGACTGCTGGCTGCTGTCGTTGATGCTGCTGCTGTTGCTGTTGCCCGCCGAGGATCCACAGCCGCTGCTGCTCTCTGTGGCCGTTCCATCGTCGTCCGATTTCTCCGGATCCTGGGACTTGTGCTTGTTCTTGTAGTTGACATAGTTCTCGATTTCTTTGGACTCCTCGTGGATCACGTCCTCGGTGATGAAGGGCTTGAAGACTTCGTTCTCCTTCTTCTTGATGGAGTAGTTGTAGTACTTGACGGCGTGGTACGCCGCATCCGGATTCTTGTCCTGCTCGTCTCTGGTGATCTGTGAGTTCATCAGCCGCACCCAGGGGGCCGGCAGACCCTCCAGGTCGCCCGTCTCCTGGTTGCGGGACACATGGAAGTGCCGCTGGAAGTTGGTGGGGGCACCGATCTCCGAGATCTGCTCCTTCTTCTTGAACCACTTGGTGAAACTCATGGTCCTGTTCCTGTCTGTGTGTGTGGGACTTTGGAATTTTTCCTTCAACGTCGATTAGTTCCGCTCTTGGGAACTTGGGAAATTCTATTCAGTCGGCGGATTTGTTGTTGTTTCGAGCTCGCTTTGTTGCCGTAGGTAGCTCAAGCCACTCTCGCTCTCTCTTTCCTACTCCCTCTCACTGGCCAGCCGTGAGTCATAAACACATTCACACGCACGCACACTTTTGTTCTGCGCTCTCTACGTGTGTATGTGTGCGTGTGTGTGTGAGCTCTTCTTATCTCTAACTGTAGCTGTAGTTTCTGCAGACAATCGAAAACGCAGAAGATTTTCACTTTTTATAGTCGCCCGCACTGCTAATTACGTTATTTGCAGCCCTAATTTATTCAGCAATCACAAGTTTTAACAAACACACAAAGGCGGACGCGGACACGAACACGAACACGCACACATCTCGGAGTCGGACACAAAAGGAGTGGCCGTCGCCGTCGCAGTCGCAGTCGCCGTCTTGTTCTTTTAGAGTAGCTTGTTGTTTTTAGCTAAAACAGGCCGAGCCGAAGTTCAACTTGGTGTTCTTAGCCGCTCCTTGGAGCCATGTTCAGCCCCAAAACCGTGCGCGACAAAGCGGTTTCACTTTTTTTCAATTTTTAGCAGGTCTGGGCTGCCTCTGCAATCAACAACTTCCTTGGTTTTTCTCCTTCGCTGCAATCGCACTGCACTCGGCCGTGTATTTGCTGTCGCTGTCGCACTTGTATCTTGTATCTGAGTGTTACCAGTTACTTCCCTGTTAATTAGCTAGGAGAACGATAGATTTCTCTTGCGATGTTTTCAGAAATGTTTCAAGCCAAGTTGGCAGCGCCACATTGCTTTGAATCGGAACGGTATATCTGAATCGGTTATGAAGATTTCGAAACGTTTATTTAAAATTTAAGCTATGAATAAAGTTTAAATGTGTTTATTTCCACGAATTTTTCATATTGTTTCTTAAAAAAATTCAAAATTTAGATACTTTGTAGTTATCTTTGCAAAACAAAAACTAAAAATTTGAATCTGAGATATGTTTTAATTTTATAAACTATCATTATTCTTACGAGCGTTGTCTAATTTTAAAAAATACTCTTGATATATACATTCTGAATATTTATTAAATATGAATAAATCTTATATGATTTAATATATGATAGTCTTTCAAGTCTTTAGAGTATTTAGGATAGGATCTAGGATTAGTTCCTTCTTCCACATCCATACTCTTGCGGAAGTTCATTGCCATCGTCAGAGCTGTTAACAGTAATAAAATCAGCAAATCGGGAAACCCACACGACAATGGCTAATTACTAGACGGAGCAGCTTCTTCAGAAACCGTGTACTCGACTAGATAACGACAGAAGTTGATAACACCAATGAATATATCGGCCAACAGCTTCCTGCGCTGGTTAGTTTCCACTCATAAGCAGCGCCATGCAGTCTTCTGCTTCGATTCCGTTGATATTTTGGAGTCTTCTCATCCTGGTCACCCACACATCTCCTACTGAAGCTGCAGCTCAGCGTGCTCCGGACAGCCGCATCGTCAACGGGCGCGATGCTGCCGAGGGCGAATTTCCATTCCAACTCTCGCTACGCCGCCAATCCGTTCACATCTGCGGCGCCTCAATCCTTTCAGGATCTTGGGCTATTACGGCCGCGCACTGCATCGATGGCCACGAACGGCAGCCGAACGAGTTCACCTTGCGGCAGGGAAGTGTATTCCGAGCATCCGGCGGAAGCGTCCAGCCTATAAAATCAATCCACAAGCATCCCTCGTATGATCGGGCGGATATGAATTTTGATGTGGCGCTCCTGCGCACCGCGGACAAAGCCCTTAGCTCCCCCCTGGGAAAAGTGGCGCCCATTCGGTTACCTGCGATTGGAGAAGCTATCGGAGAAAGCGTACCGGCAGTGGTCTCCGGCTGGGGTCACATGAGCACCACTAATCCCGTGCTATCGTCAATGCTTAAGAGCACCACGGTCCTAACGGTCAACCAGGAGCGGTGTCACAACGATCTTCGTAATCATGGAGGAGTTACAGATGCGTAAGCAAAAATATTTGAACTTTTCGAAAATTTAATTATCAGTTCCAGTTTCTATCTGTTCTGGAAAAACCGATTACGAGTCAATAACGCTTAATAATCAATTTTTTTTCAGCATGTTCTGTGCCGCCGCTAGAAACACGGATGCTTGTCAAGGTGAGAACCAAATTAGCTGATATCCGACTTCATTATTATTAATATTTTGGTTTTTTACCTTTTTTAAGGTGACAGTGGAGGTCCGATAACCTCTGGGGGAACTCTCATTGGGATTGTGTCCTGGGGAGTGGGCTGCGCTGATCCGTATTATCCAGGTGTCTACACTCGCCTAGCTCACCCGACTATTCGCCGTTGGATCCGGATGCTAGCTAAACTTTAAATTCTTTTATTGTAATTGAACATTGAACTGGTAATGGAATAAACATAAAAAATATAACCACGCTTAAAATATGTGTTGTATTTTTAACTTGGATTACCTATTTAAAATGGTTGTATCTAAAAATGAAAAGTTTTTTAAAAAGTATAGTCTTATTATCGAGTTACTTATTTGGTTCAAAGATAATTCAAAATTCAAATAAGCCGCCTTGATAGTGTGACCATGGGAAGAGGATGTCTATCTGGCAACGCTGTTAAAAGAATCAGAGAGAACAAAACAGAGAACGATTACCAAACGAAGAAGAGATGGAGAACCACGAAATTACAAGAAAATACTGATTGTCCACCCTCAACAGAAGGCGTCACCGAAAACCCCCAACGATTTAAAATTTGCAAGACGAACCCCCAGTGGCGTTTGATCCGGACAAAGGCGACAAAGGTGCAGGCGAGGAGTGACCAACGGCTGAAACAGGACCAGCAGCGGTGGCGGCACGCATTGTAATTGGGGTAATTGGGCCTAGTGGACGGGGCGTAAAAATAGACACTTAGCAGACACCATCGAGAAGGAAAAGTCTCGACCTACTCCGCCTTCACATCTGCCTCCACCCCATCCCCACGCAGCTCTGTGCTGAATGTCCTACTGGCGCTGCTTGTGGGTAGCCGTAAAGATGATTTACCAGCTGCTGTGCTGCACCGTGAGCCTGCTATTCTTCTGCTTTAACCTCCTATGGCTGCTCTGCAACTTGGCCATCCCGTGGTGCACTCTGACCCTGCTCCTTGTCTGCATCGCCTCCAAGTTTGTGAAGCTGCAACGAAGTCCCAACGAGAAGCGTCTTCTCAGCCTTCTGAGCTCGCCGGAGGACAGGCCGAACTACTGGCCCATCGCCAACCGGGCGGCCGGCTACGACGCCCCCGAGAACTCGAAAGCGGCTATCAAAAAGGTGACGTCATGTGCCGGTGGTTGTAAATCTAAAATCAATAACATCCCCTTAACCCACCCCTACCTATTTCTTTTCACAGTGCCTAACACGTGGGTATCGGAACGTGCTGCTGGATGCCTGCCTCACATCGTGTGGGGAAATCGTGGTGGCCAACCCCAAGCGGGTGAATGTCGGCCAACAGCCGCTGGCGGAACTGCAAAAGTTGGATATCACGGAGCACCATCCGATGGGGTGAGCACTCAACGCAAATCAGCCGGAAGTGGTATATAATTTTTGTACATTTCACCGCACACAGGTCCCAGTACGAGGCGGAGTCGGTGGCCACACTGGGTCAGCTCAACGAATTCTTGGAGGAGGAGGCTGCACAAGTTACAATTTTTCTGCGACTACACGACAACAGTGCCCGGACTGTTGATCAGCTGCACAAGTTCATGGTGGCTAATGAGAATTTTACACTACGCACCATAGTCATAAGTCGTTCCCCGCTGGCCATTTACCAGGTTAGTCAAATATATTCCAATATAATGAATGTTAAACTTCAATATCCTTTTTTTCAGCTTCGCAAGTTGCATCCCGAAATTATCTGTGGCTTGTGGCATGAAACCTACCTTTCCTTAGCCATCCTAAAATCCTCCACTCTGATTACCTCAATTTACGGCGCAATCTTTCGCAACATAATCGCCCCCGTGATCGGAATAAGCGTCGTATTTCTCAGCAAAGAGGAGTTTAACCTGTATGAGGTCTATATAATTTTAAAAGGAACCTCCTTTAAGCTATTCTCTCTTATTTTATAGACACATTGGCGATTTGTGGCGCAATGTCGGCGTTCGTCCGATCGTCTATATGGTGAACTCTCCCAATGAGAAGCGATACTTCCAGAAGACCATGAAGATCCAGTATCTTACGGATTCACTGCGTTCGGAACCGCACCTGCTGATGAAGGCTTAGAACTCAACGAACGAAACATACACACAAAAGGCGCCCAATCGCACAAACTGTTTGCATTTAGCCAGCAGCCAGCTTAGCCCATAAGAAAAATTCGTTTCTACCTACCTTTTTTATATATGTGTAGGACTGCGTTTTTGTAGAAGCTTTAGAAAGTATTACCCAAACAGAACCAGTACCAGTTCCAGTACCAGTGAGATTTAATGCTATGATTTGCGTATATTTATTTGATGTATTTTAAATGCTATATTTTTAGTTTATTTTTACGTTCCTTTTTTTGTTATATTTATTTTTTTTATGACTCTGATAATGATTTGATATTATTACTGTTCTGAATATTGGACTTATATACGATATGTGGCACCTGCCCTTTTGGACGTGCTATATACACTTTTTATGTATACTCTTACATAACCGCGCAGCTTTTATAGAATTCCCAATGTCATTAACTTGTCCAAGACCAGTCACAACCACAAATACTATTAGGTCTTTTGTCTTATGGAAGCTCTATACCAAAAAAAAACATGTAATTGTATGTACTTTGAAGATGACCCGAACGATACGATTGAAATAAAAATAGCTACGAAAATTATTGAAAAACCCAGTCTTTGATATTTCCAAGATTTCAGATTTGTTTTAAAGGTTTTCTTTATTTTGTTTTTGGGATCTGCGATAAGTTCTTGTATTAAAACTACGATTAATTATTATGGTACCGTACTTAGGCCTATTAAGGTGTTGTTTTTATTTACGTTCAAAGCGTGCCAATTACGTACGACTGATGCGAATCATAACAATAAAACTTACAATTATCCTGACTCGAAATTTAAAAAATCCAAAAATTTTTTACAAATGTGATTTAAATAATAACAAATGGATTAATAAAAAATATATGTAGGAATAAGCTAAAACGATGGAATCAAAACTCAAATAAATTACTTCCGGCGCGAGCGAGTGGCTCGTTTGGGTGCCGCCGCTTCGTTGCCGGCTGCCTCCGCAGGAGTTATGCTGGCCTCAAAGTGGACCTTCCGAGCTCGTCCACCGCGCGCTGCCGTCGAGGCTGGAGCTTCGGTTTCCGATTCCTGGGCAGGTGGTTGAGGTTCCTCCACAACAGCAGCTGCTTTGGCAGCTTTGGCACCGCCGCGGGCACGGCTTCGGGCGGCGGGCTTCTTCGCCGGCACTTCTGGTTCGGGGGTTGCCTCTTCCGCCGCTGCAACTGGCGTCTTGGCGCGGGACGCAACGCGGCTCTTTTTGGCGGGCGGATGATCCTCCGCCGGAGCCTCAACCGGAGCCTTGGCCTTGCGAGCTGGAGCGCGTGCGTTCTTTTTCGCTGGCTTTGCCTCCACCTCCGGTTCCAGAGGTTCGCCCACAGGAATCTCCTCCGCCTTGCGACGTCCACCACGAGCCTTTGGAGCTGTAACAGCTGGCGCCGGTTCGACAGCGGCTTGCGGCGCTGGTGCCTCCTGGGCCACCTTTTTCTCTTGCGGTTCCTCACCCGCTGCAGCCTTTCCCTTTCGTTTTTTCGGCGTATCCGGCCGTGGGGAGTTGCTCACAATCAACTCCAGGGCTTTAACAGTCGGTTGGCGAACCCGCCGGCTACGAGACGCGGAACGCTTGTCCTCATCCGGCGCTTCGGCGTAGTTCTTACGGGGCAGGTTGCGCCCCTCGCGGCGTTGCGAGGTCGTCGGCTCAGGAGGTGGCATTGTATTCACCGGTGTGGCAACTTCCTCAACAGGTGGCACAATCTTCTGGGGTGTCACCTGCGGCGCTTCAGCCACTGGAGCCTTGGTAACTGCGGGCTTTCGTGCTCGGCGATGCGAGGAGCTGCGCTTGTCCTCGTCGGAGGTCTCGTCATAGTTTTTGCGAGGCAGGTTGCGACCTTCACGGCGGCGCGGCGTCATCTCTTCTTCGGCAGCCTCACCACTCGATGCCGGATCCTGAGGAGTTTCAACCGAAGCGGATGTGACAATGACGGCATCCACGTTCTCGGTAGGTAGATCATGCAGGTTGATTTGCTTCTCCAGCTCGTCGTCGTGGGACGCATCTGCCTTTCGTGCACGTCTGGCAGGTGCCTTCTTTGCTGGGGTCAATTCGTCCACATTGGAGGAAGCCTTGCGAGCACGGCGAGCCGGCTTCTTTTCAACCACCTCGGGTGCTACCACTACCACTGAAGGAAGATCCACTTGTGGCGTCACCGGGACATCGTCTTTCACCTCCTCCACAGAAGCCTTGCGCGCGCGACGTTTTGGTTTCGATTCCATGGTCGAGTGGTCTTCGTCTTCGGTAGCTTTACGCCCGCGTCGACGCGAAACCGCAACCGGAGCCGCTTCAGGAGTCGCCTCCTTCTTGGCTGGAATCTCCACTGTTTCTGCTGTGGGTTTTCGACCACGTCGCCGCGTCTTAGGCTCTTCTTCCACTTCTGGAACCGGTACCAGCGGCTCTGGTTCAGTCTTTGGTGGTGTAGCACACTTCTCCCCAGCTTCGGAATGTACCAAGTCCTTCAAAGTTGACACATTCTCTGCCTCTACTGAGAGTTTGCGACCACGTCGCCGTGGTTTGTGTTCGGCTTCTTCCGCCAGCGGCTTCGGAGTCTCGTGAGCCGTCTCCGTTTTAGGTCCAGCCTTAATAAGATCCTCCTTGGTTGCCAGCTCCACTGTTTCGGCCGTCGCCTTACGACCACGTCGTCGGATCTTATGCTCCTCCTTTTCGGCCAATGGTTCGGGCGATTTTACCAAGTTGGATGGGATCTCTGCCGATTCTGCAGTTGGCTTTCGACCACGGCGTCGCGTCTTGGGTTCCTCCTTCTCCAGCAGGGGCGATGGCTCTGTTGCTTTGCCACTTTCGTCCTCCACCTTGGCCTCTGTCGAAGGCTTCTCTTCTGAAATTGGATCAAGTACCACCTGTTCGTCAATTTTCTGCGAAGGTTCCTTCTCTGGCAACTCGACCGTCTCCGCCGAGGCTTTGCGATGAATCCGGCGTGTCTTCTTTTCGGGTGAGTCGTCAGTGTCCGCTGGAGTTTTCGCCCTACGTTTGGGCTTCTCTACGTCTGCGTGGACGACGTTGTTTGACGGTTTGCGTCCGCGACGTTTTGGTTTTTCAGTAGGATCATGAGATTCAGGCGTCTCCGTTGCCTTCGACTCAGAAGATTCCTTCTCTGGAATAGAAGGTAGCTCCTGCTCCTTCTTGTGAGGTTCAGAGTCATGCGTTGCAACTTCCTTTGCAGGATCTTTTGAGGAACTGCTTGCCACGTCTGCCGAGGGCTTGCGACCACGTCGTTTTTTAGGCTCCTCGTGATCTCCTTTGTGCTCTGCACCAGCATCCTTCTTTGGCGCAACTTCCTCAGCATTAGTCTTCGGGGATTCTTCAGAATTTATCTTATCCTCCGAATGAATAACCTCCTCCGACTTGTCGCTGCTGTTGACCTTTTCATTATGAGTCGGAGCATGTTCCTCGCTTTGTTCGTTGGGTGCAGGAGATTCAAGGGCCTCCTCCACGATGGGTGGTAGATCTTCTGCCTCTTTGTGGTCTTGTGCCACCTCTTCGGCAACCTCGGATGACGGTGTACGCCCGCGTAGTTTCGGCTTACCTTTGGGGGATTTAGCAACGTGCTCTTGTTTGCTTTCCTCGACGTCCTTTGATGGCTTTCGGAGTCGCCGCTTGGAACTTTCCTCCGGCTTTTGGTCAGTTGCTTCTTCCACCACATCAGCTGATGGCTTTCGGCCACGTCTCTTCGTCCTGCCCAAGTCAATGGCTTCATTGGGTGGATCGGCATGGGCCGAACCCTTTCTAGTCGTTCGCTTAACAGCTTTTTCCTCCTTGGGGGTGTCTTCTTCGTCGATCGATGGCTTCGGAATGGGATGAGACACTGCTTCTGCTTGTGGAGTTGGCTCCTCTGTTGTTTCAATACTAGTCAAGTTTGTGGGGGCTTTTTCCTCCTTGGCAGGGATTTGGTTTCCTTCTTCTTTAGGCGAACCTTCAGATTCGTCATCTGAAATAATAGTCACATCGTTTGCTTCGGTGGCGTCTGTAGCTTCTTTGGAAGGTTCGGTGTCCAATGGCTTCACAGGCTGATCTACACCTGTGTCCATCTTTGATTGGTCATCCAAGCTCTGAGGTGGCTCTTCTTGAGCTTCTTCCATTACGGCGTCTAGGGCAGATTTGCTTTCTTGCGATTTCTTGTCATCTTCGGGGAGATCGTTAGAGGTCATTACTTTGGTGTCATCGGTGGTAGGTGGAATGTCCGCATCAGGGATGTTGGTTTCTGATTGTTTTGAAGACGATTTATCCTCATCAATTATGAGGGTTTCATCGGGCTTATCTACATCAACCGCGGATTTGCCAAACTCCTGTTCGCTGGAACTGGAATCTTCTATCTCAATTACGAGATTCGGCTCCTTTGTGGATGCTGGGGCTTCTTCCATTCCTTCAAGAAGATTCTCCGTTAACTTCAATGATTCTTGAGTTTCCTTGGCGGGGAGCGAATCATCTTCAATAAGAATTGAATCATTTTGATTTTCGTTTTCAGTTTGGAATGAATTTTCAGGAGATGCGTTAATGTCGTTAGAAGGCTTTGCCAGGTCCTCAACAACATCCGGAGCTTGAACTTCAGTTGTAGATTCATGGTCTGCGTCACTCGGAGATATTTCAGTCGGAATAGTAACCTCCTGCTGCTCCGTAACTTCTTCATCACGAACCTCAGGATTTTTTACGCTCTCAGAGTCATCGATGGAGGGTTGATCCCTGATAGACTCCGAAGGCACATCTTCTGGTTGGTTGCTCGGACAAGTTTCGGCCTCAAAGGTGATCTCTTGCTCTTCAGTTACTTCTTTAGCAGGAGTTGCTTCTGGCTCCTTGACCACATCATCCAGAACCTCGGTGTCTTCAGTGATAGAGGGTTGATCCTCCGACTCTATTGAAAGCACATCTTCTGGCTGGTTGGTTGGGTTGCTCGGGCGAGCTGCAATAGTGACCTCTTGCTCTTGAGTATCCTCTCCATCAATAGTTGTCTTTGGCTCCTTCTCCTTGTCTTCATCCGAAACCTCGGTGTCGTCCAACTTTGTAGAAGATGCGTCAAGTTCTTCTGGCTGCTTGGATTCCAATTCTTTGTCTGCGTCCTCCGGACAAGTATCGGTCTCAAAGGTAACTTCGTTCTCTTCAGCAACATCTTTTTCACAAACCTGAGTTGGTTTTGTGGTTTCAGAATCCACATTATTGAGGCTCTCTGAAGGTATGCCTGGTTGATCTGGAATCGACTCCGTTGAAGGTACATCTAGTTCTTCTGCCTGATTGGATTCCAATTCTTTGAGAGTGTTGCTCGAAGCAGTTTCGATCTCCGAAGTTTCTTCTTGCTTTTCAGAAACTTCTTTACCAGAAACCTGAATTGGCTTATCATTTAGGATCTCCAGGTCGTCGTCGATGTCAAAGCCGGGCTGATCCAGGGCTGTATCTTCTAGCTGATCGAGTTCCATATCCAACCTTCTCAGAGATTCGGTGTCTACAATAGCTTCATCAGTAACTGCTTTAAATTGAGTTGGTTTTGAGCTCTTCGGGCCAGCATCTTTTAAGATCTCTGGCTTAGCTGCAATATCGTTGCAAGGTTGAGAAATAATCTTCGTTGAAGGTGCATCAAGTTGTTCTGGTGGATTGATTTCTTTAACTTCTTCAGTAGCGTTTTCCAATGCGGTCTCTTTATTCAGCTCCTGATTTTGTTTAGTTGTAGAATCGTCAGCCAAACATACATCCTTAGCTTCTTCGATGGCATCTGCATCTTGAATGGTATCTTTTGAGGTGGATTCTTCGCTAATTGGAACTTCAATCTCTTCAGCCGAAATCACTTCTTCGGCAGGCGCACCATCAGAATCTTCTTCACCCAGTTGAATAACCTCATCCGTTTCTTCTTCAAGACTGGCGAACGCATCGAGCCTAGTGAGCTCAGCAATAGACAGATTATGAGGAGCGGTTTCTTCAACTAATGGCTCTTGAACTGATTCGGTTTCTAGGATGCTGTTCACTTGGACACTGTCGTTCTCGGGTGTTTCCCCAAGCATTGATTCTTCAAGACCCTTCTTGAGAACATCAGCAGACGTCTTTGCATCAGAGGTAGAGACATCGACTACGCCCTGAGTATCTGTCTCTGTATCTAAAATAGAGTCTTCGGCGTTGCCCAAAGTTTTGTCTGCTTGGCTAGAAGGTTCGGCTGCAGGAAGTACCTCGATATTAGAACTTGAAGCAACTTGGGAGGAAGCTGCCTTATTTGCACCTTCTGTTTTCTCATCAGATTCTTTGACATCACAAGTGGTTGTGTCCTTTGGTTTTTCGAGAAGGGGAGTTTCTTGAAGGGATCTGTCCAAAGATGGGATGGAAGTATCGTTGCCAGTAAACGAGGCAGCATTTGTAGATTCCAATACTTCAGACTTCTCATCAAAGTTGTCGACATCTTCAGAGGTTTCATCGGCTTGGTTTTGAGAAAGAGATTCCTCCATGAAACAAACATCACTATCGTTGTTAGAAGATAGTTCTACTTCGGCGGAGGTTATTTCAGAAGTTGTGTTGGATAGGGTTTCAGCAACTGAAGTGGTGGTTTCTTCTTGGACTCGGCTTTCTTCCTTAGATTGAATCTCAGTTTCAACATCTTCTGTTTTCTCATCAGATTTTTCGGCTTTACCGGTTTCTTCAGAGAGATCTTGATACGCAGGCTTATCCAAAGAAGGAATGTCAATCTTGGCAGCGCTGTTTTCTGATTCCACAGCCTCCTTGACAGACTTATCAGTTACTGAAGACTCCTCGAAGATATCATTATCCTCCACTGTTACGTCTGATGAGACAGCCTCAGCTTCGTTGTCTTTGGTCTGTTGAGCCTTGCCCTCACTTTCTGCAGGATTCGCCAATGTTAAGGGACTATCCTCATTGTCTTCTGGAGTGGCTTCTTTGTCCTCTGCCACTTCCTCCTTACCATCATTAATGGCTGCATCTGATAGAAATTCCTTGTCCATTGATGGGATCTCTTCGATGGTAATTGGAGCAGTTTCCTCGGCCTCTTTGTTTGTGTCTGAAGTAATGGCTTCTTCAGCTACGGATGCATCTTCGGCTGGTAATACGAAGGATACATCTTGGTTATCATCACGACTCTGTTCTGACACACTGGCGATAGAAACTTCCTCACTATTGTTATCAGAAACCGGTGGATCAGCTTTTTCAGGACCAGGAGATGAGTTAATCTCGGACGATACATCAGGAACTTCTTGAACTGCGACATCGTCTGTAGCTGACAACAGTTCAGAAATACTTTCTGTTGGTTCTACAGAAGGCTCAGATTCTACCTCAGGAGAGATATAGTTGGAAACATCTTCCGAGGTCTCATTGGAAAGAACATCTGTTGCTTTAGAAATATCAATTACCGAGTCCACGTTTCTCGATTGATTCACTGATCGGCACTCCGCTGTAGAATCCAGATAGTAGGTCTCATTTTCAAAGATTGATTTGGATTCTTCCGCCAATTCCGATGTCTCACCATCCAGAATAGTCAAATCAACCGAAGCAGACTCATTGGTACCTTTAGGTGGTGTCTCAGTGTCGCTTGAATCATCTAGCTCAATGACCAAGGACTTGTCGGTTTCAGCTGCACTCTCATCTGCCTCAATCAACGAGATCTCAATCTGAGACTCTTCTAGTTTCTCTGATGCTTTAGAGATGGATGCGCCAGCTGATGATACATCATCATTGCTTGGGGTATCCTTAGCAGGAACTTCTTGATTAACAGATTCCTCCAGGGTGTCCACAATCGACTCTCCTTTAACGGTTTCATCTAGTTTTTCTGCTGCCGATTTGTCCTTAGACTTCTTGGGCGTTCCGGAGCCCTCCTCATCATCATCGCTCATGACAAGAGGCTCCGTCAGACCTACGGTGGAGTCTGTATCGGACCGATCTTCGGAATGTTCTTCCGCCAGCTTGATAGGAACGTCCGCTTTGGTCTCCTCTACGGTTATGTCACAGGAATCCACACCTGACACTATCAAAGGTTCGGAGAACATTGAATCTGAAGTCTGGTCCAGAAGTTGAATGCCGCTCATCTCACCGTCCTCGGGTGATGCCGGTCTGTGCTCATTTTTAGCGCCAATGTGCTGGTCCGCCTGTAGGGCTCCTTTATAGGTTGTACTTGTCAGCGGATCCTTGAGGGCGCTCAAGGAAGTGGTGCTGCAGACACTCATCAGGGCCTCTGACGAAATGGAGTCGTTCTTTGTGGATTTCTCAAGTGGATCTGCAACAGTGCTGACGGTGGTAACATTGATCTCCACTTCGGTGTCGTTTGCGGTCTCATCCACATCGTCAAAGATCTTGTCCAGGTGCAGCGTTGCGTTTCCCATGCTCAAGTTGTACTCGGTAGTAGGAGCTACGGAATCGGTGCGAGACTTGAGGACTGCACTCGCTGGATCATTGGGCACCATTATGTTTCTGGCGCTGGGAGTCTTCAGAACTCTGTCTAGTAGTTTGCCACCATCTATAGTGACGTGAGCCGCAGAAACAGAGCTGCTCTTATGATGGGGTGTACTGCCTGCTGAGCTTTCCAGCATCTCTTCGATATTGTCCAAAATGGGAGAAGCAGGAACTTTCGGAGTCCGCATCATCTCTCGCAGCCCCTTGAACCGCGGCGTGCTGCAGCTCTTTGGTGTTTTCAGCAAGTCCCTGAGGCCGTGGTAGTCGACCTTGTCCACCTCGTCGCCCGGCAACTCGTTTCCGTAATCTTCGTCATCGGCAATAATAGATTTCTCCCCTGAAGAGAATTAGTGATCGGTTAGTGAACAAGTGACAAATGAATGGTAACCTTCTTAACCCACCGTGATCATGGGAAGTCTCCTCCACTATGACTCCCATGTCGCCAACAGACTCATCCACAGCTAGAGTCTTTTTCGGAGTGTTTAGTAAGCGCTTCGACTGTCGCGTTGGCGTTGACACATCCTCCGATACACGACGCTTACGACGAGGCGTAGTCGCATCATGTCTCTCTACGGCGGAGTAGGAGGCTCTGCGCTTTAGTTTTTTGGTGGTATCGGTCTCCGCTTTCTTGCTAGCCTCCATCGAGGCCCTGCGAGAGCTACGTCTTGGAGTGGTGACCGCAGCTCTCTGATCAACCGAGAGGCGTCGTGAGCTTCTACGGGTCACTGGAGTTTGTGGCTGGACACTCGAAGTTTCTTTGTGTTTAATTGGAGAAGCGGCTTCTTCTGAAAGATAAATTAAAACTTTCGTTAGTAATACTATTGTGTACCGATCACTGTCTATAACTTACCTTTGTCGTTTGGTTTAACCTCAGTCTGCACCTCCTCGCATATAATGTCCTCTACCACTTCAAAGGTCTTGTCGGCTTCTATTTAAAGAATCACTTAGTAAGTAACTAATGGACTTTTAGATTTATTTTAACTTACCATCGAGGCTCTTCTCGGGTATATCAACTTGAACCTCTTCACAGATGCTCTCTTCTATAATAGGAGCAGTTTCTGGATCCTCTTCGGGGTTTTCGACGTCACCGACACTTTGAACTTCCACAGCTTTTGATGACTGCGGCTCCAAATCGGGAATTACATCATTTGCATCTACTTGGCCAGCATCTACAGATACAGACGGCTTTGTATCTTCCTTTGGCTCTATTTCCTTCTCCTTTAACTCCAAATCAGTTGCAACACGGCCCGTTTTAGTCTCATCCGACTTTAAAGGAAGCGGCAGACTCTTATCCAGCGCTTTAACACTATCTTCGATCTGAAAACTGACCTCCCCAGTAACAAGAGCTGCCACCGTTTCGACCACCGATGTCGCTTTGCTCTTGTCTCCGTCCTGGCTTTCATCCAATATGGTGAAAGTGCGGCTTAGTTCCGACGTCGATTCGTCGTTCTGTTCGGGAGTTGAACACTTCTCAGACACGTTGAAAGTTAGGCGGTTAACCGGCGACTCTGGCTTCGGTGAGGCCGGCTTAGGAGAGCCGCTTTTCGGCGAGTTAAGTGACCGGCATGCCTTGGCCACCAGCCTGTTGCTCTTATCCACGCCTGGACTGCGTTTAGACAGGGCGAGACTCTTCCGAAGCTGGGACAGTTTGTTTTCGCGAGGAGTGCCCAAATTCTGAGGCAGTTTTTTACGCGGCGATGTCTTCGGTGGTTTGTTCCTGTCCTCATTACTGCCGGGTCGGTGCACGGGCGTCTGTCGGTGCGGGTGGAATGGCAGGCGGCGCGGCGTGGTTAGGCATTGGCGACGCGCCTCTAGCAGAGATGTGCGCTTGTGAGTGGGAGTGGCTGTGGGGGAGCCTTTCGCTTCAGCACAATTGGAAGCGATCTGCTTCTTTGTACTTGTAAGCAGGGCCCGCTTCATCAAGGATTGGGGTGTGCGCTTTGGTGTGGCAGGGGCGCCAACTAGCCGGCGGGGAGTCTGGTTCTGCTGCTTTAGTTGGGATACTGCAGGCGATTGTGATGTGGCTGAGTTGGTTATATCGATGACCATCGGCGAGCCATCGGAGGATTCGTCAGTGCTGTCTACGCTGATCGGTGTTGGCAGCTGTTTGGCGTTGATGGTGGACCGCAGCTTGGAGGGAGTGGTCAAGTCAATCAAAAACATGGACGACTCGCGCTTGCCCTTCTTTGAGGTGGAGGGAGTACTGAAGTCCATCAGATCGCGGCTGCAGCTGTCGTCGTTCGGCTCCGAGAGTACTCCTTTCGGTGTACTGTAAACGCTCTTCGGCGTTGATACGTTCGCAATGGTCGGAACCGCTGGCTTACGCACGCATGTGAATGACTTTTCAATCTTAACTCCCGTCTCACGAGGCGAGAAAGATGTGATGACCACGTCGGAGCGGGCACAGAGCATCAGCAGCTTCTGGTGACTTGCCGGCGTCGAGGTGGTGTTTTCCTTATTCTGTGTAGCTTCTACCAGATCCACCTTGGGCGTTTCGCAGGTCATGAGATCCAAGCTGGGTGGCGCCGTCAAATTCAGGTCATTTTCCGCTTCAGCAAGGGACTCGTCTTGGTCGCGCGACTCTATGGACGTGTTGCCCTCGTCGTCCGAGTTTATGCTGTAGTGGAAGCTGTAAAGAATTCAGAGAAATATATTATATGTGACAAGGAAATCGAATCGTCGACACATGCTCGAAATATGCCCCTACAGGGATTCATTCTTATCGCCTTTTTTTTTTGTGTGTGCTCAAGAAATTTTAGGGGTTGGCGGCTACCTGGGCCGGCATCTGCCTGCTGTGTGACTTACTTGTGTACGGTGAGGCGCTTGTCGATCTGCGCTCGGTGGGACTGAAAGAGGGAAAAAAAAAACAAATCTTACCAAACTGTACCTTCTTGGAGTTGGGTAGTTGGGTACTCACCTTGAGCGATGGGCAGGAATTGGAGCCCTGCTCGGCAGGCGACAAGCGCTCTGGAGTGCTGGGTACATCCTCAGCATCGTCACTTTTTGGGAATTCCCATGTATAGTCCTGATCAAAGATTTTGATTCGACCGCCGTGCAGTAGAGGTCGCTTCTTGCCCTGCAAGATGGCCTTGTCATCCAAATGGATGGTCTCACTTATAGACTTATTGTACAGGTACACCTATGTAGATGATACCAACATGATTCAGCAAAAATTCAAGGACATGCTTGCAGGATGACTTAAGTTTTAAAATTTTACTTAGTACAACTTACCCTGCCGAATGCATCTCGCATTATTTCGCAGATCAGTCGCTCCCCTTGCTCGCCACCGAGGAGCAAGTCGCAGGAAAGGTAGGCGCCCACTTGGAAGGAGCGACCCTTCGCCGGCACCACCACAGTAGCCCCTTCCTTGTCCACATAGTGCAGCCGGGCACCATCGAGGGACATTTTTCAGGCCAATATGAGCAGCTGTGGCTTGGGTTTGGGGAAGCCAAGGAGCGACGCGAAAACGAAGATGCCGCAAACGGTTGCAGCAAGCCTACCTCTTCCTTGTGTCGAATAAAAATCACTTAACGAATAGCGGATCACTCTTTTTAATGGTTCACGTTTTACAGAGCTTTTTCCAGCATCTTTTTGTTTTTAGTTATTAAAGTCGTCTTGTAGTAGCAGAAATTTCGAGCCGTAGTGTAGGAATTTTTTTTTGCAATGGACGCGCAAGTCTGGCATGCCAACTTCCACTAACCGCCACAAGGCGTTACATTCAAATTCTAGGAGCGGGTACTGCCCACTCGCTACGCTTTAGGTTTTCCGACCTACCCCTGCAAATATGCATTTGTGTAATTTTTTATAAAAATCGAAAACTATTTTATGAAATTACTAATTAAAACATATTTAGAACTACAAAAGACTATATTATGTTTTAATATCCTCATTTCAGGGTCTAATTATCAGATTTTAATATGTCAGAGGTTAAGTTTCTATAGGGGTCAAGTCATGTGTGTTGCCACTTGTTTTTGTTTAGTACCACTTTTGCCCAAACACAGCGCTCTATACGTTTTCCGATCATCTGTCGATATAGTCCCACCTCTAGCCGGAATAAAACAAAATTCGCAACAAAGACCGATTTTATTGAAAACACCTGCAATGGACGCCGACACAGCACAGAAGACATGGGAGCTGGAGAACAACATTCAGACGCTGCCCAGCTGCGACGAAATATTCCGCTACGATGCGGAGCAGCAGCGTCAAATCATCGATGCCAAGCCCTGGGAGAAGGACCCGCACTTCTTTAAGGACATAAAAATTTCGGCATTGGCGCTGCTCAAGATGGTCATGCATGCTCGCTCGGGCGGCACCCTGGAGGTGATGGGGCTTATGCTGGGCAAGGTGGAGGACAACACTATGGTAAGTGGTCGGAGGTGGATAGATATATAAAGGCTCTCATTTTACTTGTCCTGTAGATTGTCATGGACGCATTCGCGCTTCCGGTGGAGGGCACTGAGACGCGTGTAAATGCTCAGGCTCAGGCATATGAGTACATGACTGCCTACATGGAGGCAGCAAAGGAAGTGGGTCGCATGGAGCACGCAGTGGGCTGGTATCATAGTCACCCCGGCTACGGATGCTGGCTGTCTGGAATCGATGTTTCGACTCAAATGCTAAACCAAACATACCAGGAGCCATTTGTGGCCATCGTTGTGGATCCGGTCAGAACCGTTTCGGCCGGCAAAGTGTGCCTGGGCGCATTCCGCACATATCCGAAGGGCTACAAGCCACCCAATGAAGAGCCATCTGAGTACCAGACCATCCCGCTCAATAAGATTGAAGACTTCGGGGTGCACTGCAAGCAGTACTACCCCCTGGAGATCAGTTACTTCAAGTCGGCCCTAGACCGTAAGCTGCTTGACTCGCTGTGGAACAAATACTGGGTAAACACACTGGGCAGTTCGGGCCTTCTTACCAACACGGAGTACACTACCGGCCAAATCATGGACCTCTCCGAGAAACTGGAGCAGAGTGAGAACTTTTTAGGTCGCGGTACTTGACGAGTCAAACAAAAATTCGTGCGTATAATTACTCGTTTTTAAATCCACAGGTACCGACGTCAACGAGAAGCGCTCGGAGGATAAGCTTTCCAAGGCCACGCGCGATTGCAGCCGCTCTACCATTGAACTGATACACGGCCTTATGGCTCAGATCGTCAAGGATAAGCTTTTCAACAAGGTCGGCCTTGGCAAATAGGCCAAACTTTGGATTTTTATAATTATATGTAATGTAACATGTATGTAGTGGCAGCAGAATGGATTTTCTATATGAAAAGCGATTTAAATGTCGTTTCCTTGGGGAAACATATTAAATAAGTCAGGGCTATCTAAATGAACATAAAGAAGCCTATCAGGCGAAACAAAAATAATCCTAAAATGGTTTTAATGTAGTCTTCAAGAGCCATCAGACCCATTTCCTAGCAACAAGCTAGAATGGATAAATTTCCAATGTTCCAGGACTGGCGACGCTTGTTGAAATAAAATATTATACCTCGTATCAGAGGCTCCCGCCTCATCAATCAAATGGTTTCATCGTTACGATTTATATCGTTTGGCGTATTTTACAACTTTTATTCCTCGATTGCGTGTCGGCCGAATGGCCGGTAAAGTCTGCAGTCTACTGTCTCCGACAGCAGGATCCACAAGTGAGATGTCAACGGCCTCCCTGCACGTGGCCCAATCAACTTGGTTGGCCGGGGTGTAGGTGGGGGGCAGGGCACTAATTAAATACGTTGTCTCGTTTACAACAGGAAGAGGGTGCCTGCAATGCAAATATAAGTCCCTGCTTAACTGTTATCGTCACTCCTGCGAAGCAGGCCCATTAAAATTTCAGCATTCGTGAGGTCGCGAAGGGGTGTGGGGTTTATGTGTGTTCCATGGCTTATCCTGTGGCATTTTTAAATCCTCTTAAAAGTTAATGCAAATTGTATGCGAAATCCACACCAAAGAATCCCACATCAAACGGCAAAAGGGACAATCTCAAGGACAAGCTCCAAGTGGGGCAGTGGTATTTTCCTTTATAGAGATTTAGGTGACAAACTCTATCCTATTGTGCTATTGTGTGTCCTTTAGAGTGCGTGTGAGCTATTGGGGGGAAAGCAATAAAATAGAAAAATACTTCATTTTTTGATACTTTATCGAAAAGTAACCGTCAATTGGCATCAACAAGGAGCAATGACATGAAATGTAACACCGCTAGAGGGTCTGCCGCAGGCATGGGGGTGGGGATCTGCTTAGCGTTCCTGGAAGGGGTTTCGAGGGGATGTACGCCGGTGCCGGTGAGTATAAAAGACCCGGCTACGAACGGCAGGCGTTTCAGTCGCACACGGAGTGCGAGCTTACAAGTACCGGACCCAGGATCCACACAGTCCACACGTATTAGAAAAAATCATGGCATCCGTAGCGAAAGTCAGCAAACAGTGAGCCCTGAAAAGCAAAGTCAAAGGACCTTCCCAAGGATTTCTCATATGTGTTAGTGCTTGTGTACATTCCTGTGGGACTTTCTTGCCAGAGTGTCCTCATAAATTGAATTTGTCTGGAAGTATAAATAAATAACACGGAGATTGCCGCAGGAGTGAGTTCAACCTCAAATAATCAACCATGTATGGAATGTTGTACGAGAGTGTCCAGCACTATGTGCAGGAGGAGTACGGTGTGGAGATATGGAAGAAGGTGTGCCACATTATCGACTGCAAGCACAACAGCTTCAAGACCCACCAGATCTACCCGGACAAGCTCATGCCGGACATTGCCGCTGCTCTGTCCGCCTGCACCGGCGAGTCCTTCGACTTCTGCATGAATTTCTTCGGAAAGTGCTTCGTCCGGTTCTTCAGTAACTTTGGGTATGACAAGATGATCCGGTCCACTGGACGATACTTCTGTGACTTTCTCCAATCTATCGACAACATCCATCTGATAATGCGCTTCACGTACCCCAAGATGAAGTCGCCCAGCATGCAGCTGACCAACATGGACGACAATGGAGCTGTTATTCTGTACAGGAGCAGTCGCACGGGCATGTCCAAGTACCTCATCGGCCAGATGACGGAGGTGGCCAGGGAGTTTTATGGTTTGGAGATTAAGGCCTATGTGATTGAGAGCCAGAACGACATCAGTGGTGGCACGGCCGGTCCCATTAGGCTCACGGAGGGCCCGTTGACGGTGATTGTCAAGTACCGGCTGGACTTTGACAACCGGGAGTACATGGCCAAGCGGGTCAACACAGAGGCCCATCCATCCCAGCTGAAGATGCCGACGGTGAACCTGAACGTGTTCTTGGACCTGTTTCCCTTTACTTTCGTCCTCAATCATGACATGAAGATCACGCACGCCGGTGAGAAAATCGTGGAGACGTGGATTATGCACAACCCGGGGGCGAACCCCAAAGGCTTCATAGGAAGTCATGTCATGGACCGATTCCACTGCCGCCGTCCCAAGGACACTGCCATCGACTGGGAGACCCTCATCCAGATGCGGGCAGTGCTCTTCGAGTTCGAACTGATTCGAACTGGCCATAACAGAGCCGCCTATGATGCCGTTCTCAACATGGATTTCGAGAACTACGACGAAATGGATCTGAACGAGGCCCAGACCATGGCTCTGGCCAAAGCCAAGGAGTTCAATGAAGGGCAATCGGCCGACACCGATCTAGCAGCTGGAGAGGATGAGATTGACCCGGCCACTGGTGAACGTCGTTCCTCACAGGGACTGCGGTCCATTCTGCTGAAGGGTCAGATGTTCTACATCAAGGACGTGGACTCGCTGATCTTCCTCTGCAGTCCGTTGATCGAGAATCTGGACGAGCTGCATGGGATTGGACTGTACCTCAACGATCTCAATCCACACGGTCTCAGTAGGGAGCTGGTCATGGCAGGATGGCAGCACTGCTCCAAGCTGGAGATTATGTTCGAGAAGGAGGAGCAGCGCTCGGACGAGTTGGAGAAGTCACTGGAACTGGCAGACTCCTGGAAACGGCAGGGAGACGAGCTGCTCTACTCGATGATTCCGCGTCCTATTGCAGAGCGGATGCGGCACAGCCAGGAGCAGGTGTGTCAGAGCTTCGAGGAGGTGTCCGTCATCTTTCTCGAAGTTCTGAACGTGTACGATGGTGGTCTGAACAGCATTCAGGGCGCCATGGAGGCGGTCAACACTCTCAACAAGGTTTTCTCCGCCCTCGACGAGGAGATCATCTCTCCGTTCGTCTACAAAGTGGAGACTGTCGGAATGGTCTACATGGCGGTGTCGGGAGCTCCTGATGTGAATCCTCTGCACGCAGAGCACGCCTGCGATCTGGCATTGCGTGTGATGAACAAGTTTAAGAAGCGGGAGATGGGTGAGGTGGCCATTCGGGTGGGAATCAACTCGGGACCAGTGGTGGCCGGAGTGGTAGGACAGAAGGTGCCACGATACTGCCTCTTTGGCGACACTGTCAACACTGCTTCGCGGATGGAGAGCAGCAGCGATCCCTGGAAGATTCAGCTCTCCAAGTACACGGCCGAAAAGGTCCGCCTGGTGGGCTACAAGGTGGAGTCGCGCGGCACCGTCAAGGTTAAGGGCAAGGGCGAAATGGAGACATACTGGCTGCTGGAGGGACCGGAGGGTTAACCGACTATTTTAAATGAATTTCCATGTTAAGCACCTGCACCAATAACTTAAACGACACCTAAAGCTTTTGTAATCAATTTCAAAGAATAAAAGATACTTAATAACACCATAAACCTAAGTGTTGTTGATGGAATAAATGGGAAAACTAAATGTCGTCTTCATCTTAATGACTCTAGTCTAGACAAGGGTTTCTCGCCATACAACATTCTTCTATTCTTTGCCAAAAATACATTTTTAATAATTTTTATGGGTAGTTTGCGTGTCATAACTACACTATATCCTAAGCCTTATGTAGAGCCTCCCCTCCGGCTTCGAGTCCTGTACCCAAAAGAAATTAAATTAATCCACTGAGCGTGCTGGGAGTAGAAGGAGCTCAAGTGTCTCAACGTTTATCAATTAATTTTTGTTCATTTTCGAAAATTAACACACTGGAAGTTACCAAATGAGCTAACCATCTATGTACCTTCAGCCGGCAATATTTGTTCAGCCGGATTGTAGTCCATCAAGTTAACAAAATGCTTGCAAATAAAAGAAATAATTCAAAAGATTAATTATTCAAAAATTATATATTTTTCTCGGTGCAGTCACTTAATCGCACGCCAACACTAATTAAGTTTTTCCTGCGGGAAACGAAAGACAACACTTGATGTCCTCGCAGTTTTTGCGGCATTTCCCTTTGTAAGCGGGCCTGTCGTTTGTGTTATTAATGGCATTTTGAGTAGCTATTAGGCATGCCCAAAATATATCCCTTCCGTGTGTCCGGTTGGGTCTTCATCCTGACCCCTGACCCTATTCCGTGGCCCCAAATCCCCACCCACCCAAGCCCATTATCGTCAGTTTCGCCAATTCATGGGCTGCCCATAAAATTGTCAACGTTTATGCGAAAACCTTTTTCGAAAATCCGATTCGCTTGGGGAAAGCTTTTCCAGTGGTGCTGTGGATGTTTTATTCGTTAAATTTGGAAATCCCCTTTAAATTGCTTTAAAACAACAAACCTTATGTGTAGGCAGGACTCGGTATACTCGTAAATATATATACAGAGACGATTCAAAGTATTTATTGCAGAAGAGAATGCGTGAAAATGGAATAACATTAAGTGTGGAGGTCCCAACACCCCCACTTTTGGGAGGAAAAGCGAAGGGCTAAAGCAATGATACATTTGAAAGTCCTATAGAAGTGAAAGTATTCAAGGGATACATCTCTGAAAAAGCAAAATTCAGATAAAAAAGGATTCAAATAAAACTATGTATGTTGAGGTTTAAAAACCAAACATAATAAGTTCCTATTTTATGATTATTTTTATTTGAGTTATTTAAGGTCCTGTTTATAAGCCAATGTGTTGCAGCCCTGGAATATAGCTTTAATAGCAACGCAAGGTCGTAAGACCCAAAGGACAATATTTTGCACGGAATGCCAGGAACCCCAGGCTCGTATATAAGCGTACTGGATGGGAATGGGGATGGGGACATAAAAGAAATGAACGCGGAGAAAAATTATTCCTTCGGCTGTGTGTCAGTGCATTGGAAGGAGACAAAGTGGCAATCGAAGGAGCATTGACTGCTGATGTCCGGACTCCGGAGCAACAATGATAATGATGATGATGATGATGATGACGATGGACAAACAGAGAAGTGCGTGTCGAAGCGCAGGCATGAAGGTCGTAAGTGGCCCGGAAACATTACTACAACTGACAATCCGGGCTATAAAAGGTTTGACCGCCAACGACACACGCTCCATTCGCCCGACAACTTCCCGGCTGAAAGGCTGAAAAGGGAAAAGCTCCTTTCGACGCAAACCGACAGCAACAGATCCGACAACGACAACGACTACGGGTGCCCGGACACACGAAGCTCGTCAGAGGAAATCATGGAACAAATCAGGCTGCCAGAAGCCAAAGAAGCAGCGACAGGCGGCAAAACAAATTTAGTGTAACAATAGCAACTGCCGACGACGCAACACGGAGTCCGGATTCCGGAAAAGTGAGAGGCCCCGAAAAAACGTACGTATACGCCTCCGGGGAGGCTGTGTGTGGAGTTCTGAGCATATGCCTGTGTGTGCGTACCATCTCTCCTTAAATTATAAATAAGCGAAGAGCAAATGCCGCGTGGATAAAATTAAACTTCATTGTGGCCTCTTTAAGAGGTGCGAAACGAAGTGATTCGCAGCTGGAAAAATCGGAATTTAAAAGCACGGGATGACCTTAGTATTGAGTAAGCTGAGATAACCAGGACCACAATATGGCAATAGCTCTAAATCATTGTGTAGAGGGGAGGCTTATCAGAAAAAGGACTACCCATAATTTCTGATAAGTTCAATTCACCCTTCATCATTCGTTAATAATTAAAGAAGTTATTAATCAAGTATTTGGCTTTTATTAAACTTTATTTGACAGCTCATAACGTCGACATTAATCAAATGCAACCATTTCTACTCACAAAGCACCTAAGAATTTGTAACATTTTTTTACGACTTCTGGAAGAAATTTGCATGTTTTTTGGTCAAAATTGAATATTACAAGCTTGGGGCAGATGTTAGAGGATTTATGACCGTTGTTAGTTAGCGTTTGGGGCGAAATCGAAGAGCAGGACGAACTGGCAAAGGACGAATTAACGCCAACAACAGCCAACGGAAATAAGTCAAGAGTCCAATGAGCTCGTTCACTGGGAGCTCCTGCTGGGACGTGACAAGCTGAAAGTGGCTGGCTGGGTGGAGGATTAGGGGTCCGTGGAATACTTGGTGGAGGCGCGTGCCTGCGGCTGCCACATGAAGCCAAATTAAACTGTCGAGGCAATAAATCAAAAGGAGCAGCGGCGAGGCAGGCTTAACTTTTCCCCAGTGTGTTTGAAGACTAGATAAGAGACACTTCATTTTAGACTCAAGTAACCATATTTCTTTGGTTTTCATTTAAAATCAATCTTAATTTCATGCCTAGTGAGTTTTTTGACAAGGATCTAAATTAGCTACATATATTTTGTATTTTTTTAAAAGGTCTGTTAAAAAGAGAGTGTATTCTCTCAAGGACACCTTTTTAATCATTTATAGATATGTATTTCCGTATCCGTGGCTTTCTAATCCCTGACCTTACCCAACCAAATCGACTTGAATCCCCCGGATCCCCGGAGGGATACAAGTTACCTAATTTGCTTGCTGAGAGAAATGGAAAAAGTTTTCCTGCCGCCCAGCCTATTTAATCGTCACCCAACTTTGGCTCGTTACAGGAAAAGTTTTGCGAAACCAATTTGGACGATAGACAGGACGACAGGTCCTAAGTGACTGCCGGCCTCACCATGTACGGAATGCTGTACGAGAGCGTGCAGCACTACATCCAGCAGGAGTACGGGATGGACACCTGGAAGAAGATCTGCCAGATTGTCGACTGCAAGCACCAGAGCTTCAAGACCCACCAGATCTACCCGGACAAGCTGATGCCGGACATTGCCGCTGCTCTGTCCGCCTGCACCGGCGAGTCCTTCGACTTCTGCATGAACTTCTTCGGAAGGTGCTTCGTGCGCTTCTTCAGCAACTTTGGATATGACAAGATGATCCGCTCCACGGGGAGGTACTTCTGCGACTTCCTGCAGTCCATCGACAACATCCACGTGCAGATGCGGTTCACCTACCCAAAGATGAAGTCGCCCAGCATGCAACTGACCAATGTGGACGACGATGGGGCCGTCATCCTCTACAGGAGCGGCAGGACAGGCATGTCCAAGTACCTAATCGGGCAGATGACTGAAGTGGCCAAGGAGTTCTATGGCCTGGACATGACTGCGTATGTGCTTGAGAGCCAGAACGACATCTGCGGAGGAACCGCGGGTCCCATCAAGCTCACGGATGGGCCGTTGACGGTCATCGTCAAGTACCGACTGGACTTTGATAACCGGGATTACATGAGCAAGCGTGTCAATGTCATCGCCCATCCGTCCCAGCTGAAGATGCCCTCGGTGGACCTGAACGTGTTCCTGGAGCTGTTCCCCTTCACCATAGTCCTCGACCATGACATGCGCATCACTCTCGCCGGCGAGAAAATCATTGAGACCTGGATTCTCCATAATCCGGGGGTGAATCCGAAGAGTTTCATTGGGAGCCACATCCTAGAGCGGTTTAAGTGCCGGCGGCCCAAGGATACGCTGATCCAATGGGAGACTATGATGCAGATGCGTACAGTTCTCTTCGAGTTCGAGCTCATTCGAACAGGACACAACCGCGCCGCCTACGACGCGGCTCTAAACATCGACTTTGACAACTTCGACGAGGGAAGCCTTAACGAGGCCCAGTCCATGGCTCTGGCCAGTGCCCAGGAGCTCAGCGCCGAGAATACCAAGGACGAAGCAGTTGCTGGAACATCCAAATCAAAGGAGGAGATCGATCCCGCCACCGGACAGCGGCGCCACTCTGTCGGCCTAAGGTCCATTCTGCTAAAGGGTCAGATGTTCTACATCAAGGACGTGGATTCGCTGATCTTTCTCTGCAGTCCGTTGATCGAGAATCTGGACGAGCTGCATGGGATTGGACTGTACCTCAACGATCTTAATCCACACGGTCTCAGTAGGGAGTTGGTCATGGCCGGATGGCAGCACTGCTCCAAGCTGGAGATCATGTTCGAGAAAGAGGAGCAGCGCTCCGACGAGTTGGAGAAGTCATTGGAGCTGGCAGACTCCTGGAAGCGGCAGGGAGACGAGCTGCTCTACTCTATGATCCCACGACCCATTGCCGAGCAGATGAGAAAGAGTGAGGAGCACGTATGCCAGAGCTTCGAGGAGGTATCCGTCATTTTCATCGAGGTTCTCAACGTCTATGACAGCAGCTCCAACAACATCCAAGATGCCATGCAGGCGGTGACCACCTTGAACAAGGTATTCTCTGCGCTGGACGAGGAGATCATCTCACCGTTCGTCTACAAAGTGGAAACCGTGGGAATGGTCTACATGGCGGTGTCGGGAGCTCCAGATGTGAATCCCCTGCATGCAGAGCACGCGTGTGACCTGTCTCTACGTGTAATGAAGAAAGTCAAAGCCCATGCCCTGCCCGGCGTGGCCATTCGAGTGGGCATCAACTCCGGACCAGTGGTTGCCGGGGTGGTGGGCCTTAAAGTGCCCCGGTACTGCCTTTTCGGCGACACGGTCAACACCGCCTCGCGTATGGAGAGCAGCAGTGATCCCTGGAAGATCCAGCTCTCCAACTATACAGCCCTCAAGGTGCAAAAAGTGGGCTACAAGGTCGAAGCTCGAGGGTTTGTCAAGGTCAAGGGCAAAGGCGAGATGGAGACCTATTGGCTACTGGAGGGACCAGAATAACTTTGATTCGTCTGTAGTAATCCAGGGCACATACTTTTCTAAAATTTTAAGAGAATTAACTAAACCCCAAAAGGTACAAGTATTACAAAAAAAAGGAAGTTTTTTTATACTTCTTCTATGAAATCATAAGTAATTTCAGATTTCAACATGATTGTTTATAAATTATTGGTAATATTTCTAAATAAATATAAATAAAGAATACTTCAAAGCATGTTTATTTTAAAGAAAGGAAATCTTAGTATAGGCAGGAATAAAAGAATCCTTGTAAATTCTTTTTAGAAATTGTAAACTTTCTCCATCCTTAAAGAGTCTTGCCAAGAAAACTTTAAATACAAATTGTAATTTTTGATACCTTTTGATTATTAAAACTAAATTTTATTCAGTGAAATTTTAAGGAAAAACTCAAAAGTATAGAGCCTTAACTTTTGAAATTTATGAACTTTTACCTGTTCTATTAAAAAATCTATCGCATATTTCTATCGACTCCAAAATTCCCGCGCCAAACACAAACAGCTGATTTCGGTAGCTTAAGGAAAGCTTTTGTAGTGATCCTGAGTTGGGAGACTCGTTTCTAAATATTATTAGCAGCAACCTGTCAAAATAAAATGCGGCGGTTCAGCTTGATTGTGGCGGTTAGCGAAAACTCAGGGATCGGAATTGAGGGCGACCTTCCATGGCGTATACGGTAAGACACAGAACCCAGAGTACTCATCTTGCTAACAGCTTGGCTCCTCAGATCGGAGCTTAAGTACTTCAGCCGAACAACTAAACGAACCAGTGATCCCGGCAAACGTAATGCTGTTATCATGGGACGGAAAACTTATTTTGGCGTTCCCGAAAGCAAGAGACCGCTGCCCGATCGACTGAACATTGTTTTGAGCACCACACTGCAGCCGAAGGATCTGCCCGAGGGCGTTAAACTGTGTCCCAACCTGGAGACGGCTATGAAGCACCTCGAAGGCGACAACGAGATCGAAAACATTTGGGTCGTAGGCGGCAGTGGAGTATATGCGGAGGCAATGGACTCAGAACGCTGTCACCGGCTGTACATCACCCGAATACACAAGAAGTTTGAGTGCGACACTTTCTTCCCCAAGATCCCCGAAAGTTTCCGCGAAGTCGCTCCCGATCCGGACACACCTCCAGGCATCCAGGAGGAAAACGGCATTGAATACGAGTACAAAGTGTTGGAGAAAGAAACCAAATAAACTATGCCTTTTATTTACTACGAACATCGTCCGCCGTGATTGTGTCTCCTTCCAGGCCTTTTGCCGCCAACATGAGTTCGTAGAGCTGCACCACCTGGTCGTCTTTGAGCATTTCTACAGCACTTTTGTCCAGTGACTCGCCTAGTTCTCCCTTGGGCTTGCCGCGAAGACCCAGCTGCTTGGTTATCGTCGACGCGTAGCGCTGCAGGAAAAGATTCCTCATTTAACATCAGCCCATTGGCAATTACGTAAAACTTACGGCCCACTCCGTCATGAAGAGCTGCGCCTCCATGGGATTGCATTTAAGGTGTCTTCTGAACTCGTCGCGCACATAGTTGTCGCCCAAAGCACGCAGTTCCGCGGGCAATCCTGTAGGTAAAGGAGTAAGAATTGCAAAGGCGGTTTGGCGAATTTATAGATGCAACTCACCTCGATGCAGGCGCAGAATAGTTTTGTACAGCAGCCGGACGCGCTGGGGGTGTGTCAGTTGATTCATCAAAATTTTAGACATTTTATGCTTATATTCTATACGACATTCTAATACTGTTACTGTCTAAACAGTTAAAATAGTAAATAAACAGAAAGTAAATAGTTCGCGGATGTCGTACAAAAGGTAAGGCATCCCTGCTTCAGAAAACGGGGCTGCCACATAGTTTTTATTTTATTATTTCTGGCGCGCGTTTTGAAAACTATTTTTAAAAATAAGCTTTTACTTTTATACAAATTTGGCTTTAACAAACAAACAGAACTATGATAATAAAGGAGAAATAAACAAAGAGAAAACAAACACAAAAAGATCATACTAAATTAATAAAAAAAAGATAGTAGAACCACTCTTAACCACTTTTCATTTCCAACATTTTTTATACATCTTGATTTATTTCTTGCATGGTTGTATATATATAATCACATGTGCAGTGTAAGTTCAATCTGTCGTGAAGGTAACCCTTAAGGGCGAATTAAAAGTACATCTGGCGTGGTTCTTGGTCCTTGTATGGAAAAACAAACAAGTAACCATACACGCACTCTGCATTAACTTTGGCTAACTATTGCACGCCTCTTCAATACTAATCGCTTAATTACACCAAGCACCAAAGCTGAGTGGTACCCAGCATTGTCAACTTCATTAGAAATGGAAACAGTTTAACAATCTAGTTTCAGCGATGCTATTGCGCCGCTGGCGCTTGTTGTTCTGGTCGGTCGGGCTGGGCGACTTCATCATTTTGCTCTGGCAGCAATGGTTCGCCCTCGCCACCCCATGGAAAGCCTCCGGGTCGATCCTCGACAGGTGCTTGGTAGTTGCGTTCGATGTGCTCGTTAAAGAGGCGTTTTCTACGGAAGGAATTGCAAATAATAACGCTTCGAGATTGCTATTTAGATTGACTTACAGAAAATATGGCGTTTTGATCAGTCTGTAGCCGTTGGATAACGTGGGGTAAACGTCCTCCAGCACATAGTATATGTGGCCCACACCCATGCCAATAATGTCCACCCACACAGTGTTGCCCAGAATCATCGAGCAGCAGAGCAGGACCCACGGCAGGTAGGGAGCCTGGAAGTTTAACATTCCGAAAAAGTTCATTGGTACGAGTGGGTTGCGTCGTGACCACACGTATACAAGCATCAGCGTGAACGCCTGGCCCAGGAACAGTAGGTTGACAAAAATTCCAAAGAAGGTCATTAGCACACCGCCGAATATAAACATCATTACAAAGTCAGAACTACGGCCACGGAACGAACCGTCCTCCAGCATCCGGCAGTATCGGTAGGTAAAGACCATGTTGAAAAAGAAGCTTATGCCGATGGTGCCAAAGTAGAGGAATGTGGTGGCTAGTCGCCAGATTTGGAACTTGCGAACGATAAGCGTTGGATTAAAGTACAGCTGCAGCGGCGAAACCAGGTCCAGGTGCTGAAACGATTATTCGTCAGAATATCACATACAGTACACGTCACCTTCACGGGAGACTCAATCCTATCCGGACACTTACCACAGCCAATGTGGTGAAGACGCAAACGGTGGTGTAGGCCCGCGTCACCACCGGTATCTCCAAGTAAAACTGCCGCAGGGCATTCATGGTTGCAAGACTCCCCAAAGAGGCTTACAAGATTGGTGGGAATTGGAAGGTGGTGGCGATTTGTTCCTGTCCTAGGAATTTGTGCGTGGCTATCTTTGTCAAGCAGAGCCTTCTTGGTCTCGCCTCTGCCAGTTGCTTAAATTTCCTAAATTGGCAGACGGAATTGACTTGGGGCTCAACAGCCTATTAGGAAAAACAAATGGAAAACTAACTGGCCAGTTTTTATTTTTATGCATCCCCACGACCTGATAGGGATGGTACTTGCTGCTGTCAACCGGTGGCTATCGATAGTTTCGTTATCGTTGTATCACGTATTTACGCTCTTTGTAATACGTGTTACTTTCGGGGATCCCCAAATATATTTTTAATATGAATCATTTAATATATTTTTGGCGCCTTTATTTATGTTGACATTTTTAACGCTTACAAACTATTTTTTTCTGGGCTAGTACAAATATCTTTAACTTTGCGGTCCTTGGTACGAATACTGCCAAACTTTTCTTGCAAATATTTTTGAACGTTGCTATTATACTGTTTTCGGGAAATATGGCCAAGTTTCTTTAATACGGGTGTGGAGTTTGTTGTTTTCTTCTCTGGACTAGTAGGTTCCGATTTTTCCGTGTTTGATGTACCAGCTACAGATCGGTTCGAATGGCCCTGGATGAGCTTATCTGCAAAAATATATGACGCACAGATTTAATAAAACAAACTGATAAGACTGCAGTCTATGTAAATTTTGATAGTGCTTCTTAAATATTTACCTTTTAATTGACAATCGACTTTGTAATCAATATTGACGGGCAAATCATTCTTATCCTTAATTTTCTCTGTACTGGAATTATTTTGTTTGTTTATGTTTGTGTTTTCTTCGCTTATGTTAAAATTCTGGTGGGGCTTAGCTATCACGTAGCTGATACTACTTTGAGTAATATCGAATGAGTCGGATTCCAAGGTTCTATCAGTAAAGCCATGAGCTCTATTTGAAACATCGCATGGAAAGTTTAACGGCAACAGGTTCGTTTCCTTTTCTGGGTAAAATTTCCTTAGTCGCCTGTAAAGGAGGCAAGTTATCGTGGACAGCAGCATCGACATGCCGAGGAACCAAAACGTTATGATGCACACTACTGAAAAAAAGTTAAGGTCAACCAACGGATTGGATTCTGCGGAGTTCTGGACCACAAGTCTCATCTGAACAAAGTCTCTGCCACCGGGATTCTCGGCTATGCAGGTGTATACTCCTTCGTCGGACTTCTTGGCATTCACGATGGTAAGCCGCGATACAAAAGTATATTGATCTATATTTTTATCTGGCGTTTCCTTTTCAACTTCGATGTAAACCCTCTGCTGCCAATGATTTATAGATCGCGTGGAACCAGCAACATACAACTGCTTATTGAAGTCCCACGCAATCACGGTATTGTTTGGTCCTTGGACACGACAAATTAGCGTCACGTTTTCCTTAGACGTGTTAATGGAAATGCCAAGGCCCGGATACACAATCTTTGGCCTACAAGCAAACGCCACTGGTTTATCCACAAGCCACTGCAGGCCCCGCAATTGCAATGGGTAATGACACTCGATGGACGGAGTGTAAAGGTTCATCTCTACCACGAAATCGCGGAATGGCTGGAGGTCACACGTGCAGTTCCAGGGGTTCTGAGCCAGAGACAAGGTGCTCAGTTTGGTCAAATTTTTAAAAGTTTCCTTTCGCAGGAGTGTAAGCTCGTTGCCATCCAAATAAATCTGCGACAATAGAGGCACGCCAACAAAAGCCTGGATTTCAATACTTATCAGGCGGTTGTGCTTTAGCTCTATTTTGTGCAGATATTTAAGATTGTGGAAAACACCTTGCTGAATCCTTTGTAAAAGATTTCCATTGAACACCAAAGACCGAACCTTACATAGCGGATCAAATACATTTGGTAAGAGGTCCTCAATCTTATTGTTCGATAAATCAAGTTCAATTAGTATATTCAGTTGGGTGAAGCTTTGCGGATGAATTCTCCTCAAAGTACCATTCGTTATTACAAGTTTATGCAAATTCTGCAACTGCAGAGACGAGAATACGTTTTCCTCCAAATAATATATGCGATTTTGTGACAAATCCAACACCTGAACCTCCGAGTTAAGGTATTCGGGGACTCCGCGAAGACTCAAGTTACGGCAGTCCGCCGTTTTTTTTCCAGACACCCACTTGCAGTTGCAGTTTCCACATTCCCTTAGCCAGTCACTGGAGCAGGTTGATCCTTGGAACCGGCTTAGTAGCCATACGAGGCAGGAGAATTTAAATAAATTAATAGACGAGCGATGGTTTATCATGGAAGCCATTGGTTTATCCTAGAAGCATCAGTTTAAATGATATTATTTATATCACTTCTCGAATATAATAAATAAAATAACTTAAGGCACTGGAAAATTTGTATTTTATTCGCATTTTTGCTAGCCTTTTGGTTGGGGCTGTGACACTGACCGTGGAAATCAACGTTTTTCTGCACTTTTTTGGCTTGCCACTTGTGGTGGCCACTTAAGCTCGGTCCAATGATAAATGGAAATTTCAAATAATTGGTCCGAACAGCGCAACATAAACAATTGGACTGTCTGTTGGTTAAAAATGTTAAAAAACATTTACATATTTGCTTATTGTGCGCATGGCACATAGCTTTTCGAGACTATTGGCCATATCTAATTTCTCTCTTGTATAAAGGGGTTTTAAAATTCAACAGGTCTTTTCCTTTGTTTACCTGGAAGTTTAATTTTAGGGGAATATTCATTAAAATTAAAATCTGACTCACCAAGGGAAACACGTTACTTGCCAACTTGCAGAATTTTTAATATCCTTGAACGTTAAACGTACTGAAGAAAATATTTTAGTCATAAAGTCATTTTCTGCTAATAATAATTGTGTTTTCTTTTTATCTTCTTATCTTAAAACAACAAGGAAAACAGGTGTTACATTGTTAAAAACATTTAAAACACGTGCATTTGATTAAATCGGGTTGTTTTTATAATTTTATGCACATAGATAAACATAATCCATTAGTCGGATATTTGATCAAAAGGGCGAAGAAAATGGTAAAACGGAAAGTGTTCCAGACAGTCGCACTATAAGTAACTGCGTGGGGCAGTCTCAGTTCCCAAACGTGATCAGAATGCCACCCAATAGCAACAAAGCTTCGGAAGTGCTTTACGAGCCAGAACCGGAAATCCTGGAAGATACTCCTCCTAAGCATCTCGACCTCCAGCTGAAAACTCCCAAGGACTACAAACTGAAATGGGTGTGGCGCAATATAATCCTTTTTGTAATTCTTCATATATCCGCGATGTACGGTGTCTGGCTGTGTTTTACTGAGGCCTCGTGGAAAACTCTTTTCTGCTTTCCAGTGTCGATCGTAATAGCGATCTTCGGGATCTCTGGTGGAGCCCATCGTCTGTGGTCGCACCGGGCCTTTAAGGCAAATCTTCCACTGCAGCTTATCCTGCTGTTCTGCAACACATTCGCCTTCCAAGATTCGGTCTATACTTGGGTCCGGGATCATCGCGTGCACCACAAGTTTGCGGAAACAGACGCGGATCCGTACAATGCGAAGCGCGGCTGGTTCTTTTCCCACATTGGATGGCTGTGCTGCAAAAAGCACCCGGATGTGATAGCTAAGGGCAAGGAGATAGATCTTTCCGACCTGAAACGGGATTCCCTCATCATGTTCCAACATAAGTACTATCTTATTTTGATGCCGTTGATATGTTTCATCCTGCCCACTTTAATACCAATGTATTTTTGGGGAGAGTCCCTAAACGTCTCCTGGCATGTGATGTCCATATTCCGGTGGTGCCTGTCCGTGAACATAGTCTGGCTGGTGAACAGCTCGGCGCACAAATTCGGAATGAGGCCCTACGACAAGAACATAGGACCTACGAATGAAAGTATCCTGATGTGGATGCGCCTCGGAGAGGGCTACCATAACTACCACCACACTTTCCCGTGGGATTACAAAGCCTCTGAGCTGGGGCCCTATTCCCGGGAAGTAATCACATGGATGATCGACTGCTTCGCTAAACTCGGCTGGGCATACGATTTGAAGACAGTGTCGGACGATTTAGTTAGAAAGCGAGTGCAGCGTACGGGCGACGGATCCCATCCTGTGTGGGGATGGGGAGACAAGGATCAGAAAATGGACGATATAGTTGGAACAAAGCTGACTAACTAACGACATGCACTACATTAAAACCAAATTGCTAAATTGCTTTTATGATAATGACGCAATGAAACCGTATTCAAACTCAACAGAATTAAGAACTCAGTTTTTAGTTCAATCTGTACCTTAGTATTTAAGCTTTAAAAATTCTCAAATAAAAGAAACATCAATTACAAAATTTTATATTTTTTGTCCCATTTTCTGGATAGAAACCTTCAAAAATGGGGGAAATGCATGAGTGGTGAGGCCCACACCACATCCATATGGTGAAAAATGAAAGCCATGGAAAGACATATCTTTTGATCCGATTCTTGATCGGAATACTTTAAACGATTTGTGAATCGATTCTCCATAAATCTGCATCAAATTCCAGAAACAAAATATTTTTTAGATTTTTTGTCAAATTTTCTGGGTAGACCTCTTCGAAAATGGGGGATTTGCTTGAGAGGTCAATATGGCCCACACCGAAAGCCATATCTTTGCCAATTTTGATCCGATTCTTGAGCGGAATACCTTAAACGATTTTTGAATGGATTCTCCACAAATCTGCATCAAAATCCAGAAACAAAATATTTATCAGATTTTTTGTCAAATTTTCTAGGTAGACCCCTTCAAAAATGGGGGAAGTGCTTGAGAGGTCAATATGGCCCACACCGAAAGCCATATCTTTGCCAATTTTGATCCGATTCTTGAGCGGAATACCTTAAACGATTTTTGAATGGATTCTCCACAAATCTGCATCAAAATCCAGAAACAAAATATTTATCATCCCCCTTCAAAAATGGGGGATGTGCTTGAGAGGTCAATATGGCTCACACTGAACGCCATATCTTTGCCAATTTTGATCCGATTCTTGAGCGGAATACCTTAAACGATTTTTGAATGGATTCTCCACAAATCTGCATCAAAATCCAGAAACAAAATATTTATCAGATTTTTTGTCAAATTTTCTAGGTAGACCCCTTCAAAAATGGGGGAAGTGCTTGAGAGGTCAATATGGCCCACACCGAAAGCCATATCTTTGCCAATTTTGATCCGATTCTTGAGCGGAATACCTTAAACGATTTTTGAATGGATTCTCCACAAATCTGCATCAAAATCCAGAAACAAAATATTTATCAGATTTTTTGTCAAATTTTCTAGGTAGACCCCTTCAAAAATGGGGGATGTGCTTGAGAGGTCAATATGGCTCACACTGAACGCCATATCTTTGCCAATTTTGATCCGATTCTTGATCGTAATACTTTAAACGACTTGTGAATCGATTCTCCATAAATCTGCATCAAAATCCAGAAACAAAATATTTATCAGATTTTTTGTCAAATTTTCTGGGTAGACCCCTTTGAAAATGGGGGAAGTGCTTGAGAGGTCAATATGGTCCACACCGAACGCCATATCTTATATTACATATTTTTTTTACATGTTTTGTCCAAGTTTCTGCATGGAGACGAATATTTGACCCTCGTTGATGGTCTCTAGAATTTTTTTTTTCTGCATGTATTTTGTATTTTCTTTGGTATATATTTTAGGTGACTTGGTATATTTTGACAATGGCTGTCGCAGTTATGTTAAATATGTAGTTTTTTTTCGTTCTTTGGGACTAGATAACTAAATGTAAGGTATACCTCATGATTTATATTTTTCAAAAACATAATTTTTTAAAATGCCCAAAATTTTGTTTCGATGGCTTTTTAAATTTAGCGGAAAACAGCGTTTTTTAAGGTCTTCAAGAAATTTGGTGGGATATCCAAACCGGCGTCTGGTAACTCTGGGACTCGCAGAAAAATTTACCATTTTCTGCTCTCTTTTTCCGATTTGAAAACGAAAGAGAGAATGAATTGCCGCGAGTTTTGTTTTCGGATATATTTCTGTTTTCACTGCTAAATTAATAAAAGTATTCTAAGTCATTTAAGTAGAGCCCGTCGGTTAATTTGTGATCCGCCGCGTCCATCATCTCGCTTCGGTTCTTTTTAACGAGTATTTCTGCCTGCCGTGCCCTAGTGTTTGTGAGGTGTGTGTTCAAAAATTCCTGCATCCCGTTGGAGATATTCGCTTCATTTCATTGCCTCCAGTGCCGGTTTTCAATTAACTCGTGTTGGTAAGTACGGGCGGAGCAATTTCCTCAAACCAAGACATCCTCCGCATGGATGAATTAGTCATCGCTGGTATATTTTGAAGTTTATGAAAAAAGTGGCGCGGCTGCCTCCTGTTTCCCGCCCCACCCAGTAGCAGGCGGTGCAAAGAGAAATGTTGCGGAAGCAACAGCCAACTAAGAGAGTTTGTGATAGCGGAAGAGCGCACACGTGTCGTCGGCTGGGAAAGCAGTGCACAGGGACGTAGTGTTGACCTTCTGCAAGGGGGTTAATTTTAATAGACTTGTCAATACCGAATTATCTGTAGGATGTATGATGTTACTTTTTGTAGTAAAATATTTTTTTATGTAATACATTTTTATTATGTTTTCTTTATTTAATTTCAACACAGATTTATTTAATGTTTGGTTAACCCTCTTAATTTTATGGAACCACCCCTCTATAAATTAGTTAACCACATGTTGATGCGGGTGCATCACTGGCATCGTCAGAGGAAATTCTTTCATGTTTTAAAAATATAATCATGCGCAGATGTGCATTCTACAAGTGCACTCTTTCTAGTTTTGATTAAAAGAGTGGGATATAGGAATTCCGGTCGTGTTCTATTTCTTAAATAATCTTAAGAAAAAGGCAAGCACAAATATCAAATTTCTTTATTAATTTCATACAAAAGTTCAACTTATTGGGAAAATGCGGAAGACTTAATAAAACTCTACTGACACTGCAATTTTCGGGTTATGGTAGGGTCAGCATTTGAGTATTGCTCTAAATATTTCAGATACAAAAAAAATATCTCAACCTCGCTGGGTAGAGCTATTCAATAATAAACAATTTGTACCATATTCAAAAAAGAATACTGTTCATTTATAAGTAGAAGAGTATTTATAAACTGAAAAGTATCTCAAGGTGGCCAGTTCCAAAGTACAATAGCGACATAATGCAGTTGGATAGTAGTACTAATTGATCAATCTCCTTGAACCCAAACTGTTATCACTAGGAACTTGGCTAACAGCAAAGTCAACAGACGGTAATTAACATTTGTTAGGCAAACAAATCAAAATCCTCTCGAGAAAGCCTCTCCAGAATCGCAGCTAAAATGCAAGATGGGTGGAGCGTCTGGGGCGTGGGGTGGGCCTGCCTGGGGATCGATTCGCCGTGGACCCGCAGTTTTTCTAAGAGAATCTCGAACACACACACACTCTAGAAAGAATATTTATCGACCCGAATAGAAATTTCATTTCTATGGCCGGCAACGGTGTGAGGCGTCCAAAGTCCAAGCGAATTTGGGCTGTGTATAGATCCGATCCGCAGCCGCTGCCAGTAGTCGTATGTGTATGGGTGCTCGCTAATATATGTTTTAACGTCGCATGCTTAATAAGCACTTCTTGGCACTGTCATTATGTTCCTCCAAGTTCTTAACCGGTTTGCCCTACCATGGCCAAGAACAATCGGTTTGATGGCGCTCTCTGGGCTACGCTCTGCCAGCATGCCGGTCATTGTACCACATTAGATCTTTACCACCGGCCCAGTCCCACAGTTGCCAGTCATTTGTTTGGCTACAAACATTTGAATGGAACTACATACAGCGACAACAGCATTAGAACTAAGAGAACAGCCACCTGTTGCTCTGATACAAAGACAGAGACATTCCGTTAGAATGGGGGGCGATGCTGCTACAAACAGTGTTTTCAGCTTTAATTATTGGAGAAATAAATTATTAAAAATTATTTTCAAAGAGAAAAACATTCATATACAGTAATTGTGGGATAATTACATTGCAAAAAAGCCCCTGCTATGTACTTGCATCCTTACTCGTAAGCTTTCTCACAAATTTCGATGAGGATGTTCCCAAAATTGATTGCAGGTTGACCGAATTTTTTTTGGATTTTTTCAGTTCATATCGTTTACATCGAACAATCTCGATGTTTTCGAATTTTGCCATAGTCGTTTTTCTCTTATGAGTTTTGGCTAAATTTTATATACTTTGCACATTAAATTGACCGCCTTTGGGGACCTGTTGTGTTGCTTTCTTTCGGTGTCTGTGTGTTTTTTCCCCCATTTTTGCTCTCCTCTGCCCTTTCGAGGCCATAAATTGGCTATGTACATACATATGTACATATGTGCGTTATTTGCGTTTTTTTACTTTCATTGTGTTTACCATAATCCAGACGAGTTTTATGTATTTTTGTTCAAAACCCACCTGACAGGTCATTATGTAAGTTGAACTCTCAATGGTTTCACCATGACTTAGAATGCTCAAGGCAAAAGCCTTGCAATGGCAACCACCTCTTCACCGTACGATCCGGAACTAAGCGTTTAAATATCGTTAACATATGTTGGCCCCAAGTGCTCGCCCGAGAGTGAAACTTTCATCAAAGGTGTCAGCTATTCGGTCGGATATACATAGTAATGTCTTTTTGGCCTTCCCAGCTAAGCAAATACCTAACCGGAGGGCAGGTGGGCGCGGTTCATCGTTATCCACTTGCGCTTTCAATCCGAGCTTGTATCGGAGCCAGTTATCGGGGACGCCTTTATTTGCTTTTGGAATTCCAAAAACTAAATTATTTTGTAATTTGGTATGGGATGTATGTACGTGCTAGTACGATAAAAGTATTTAGTAGATAGAACTTGAGATTCATCAGATATTGATCTTTTTATACCCTTGCAGAGGGTATTATAATTTTGTCCAAAAGTGTGCAACGCAGTGAAGGAGACATCTCCGACCCTATAAAGTATATATATTCTTGATCAGGATCACCTCCTGAGTTGATATGAGCATGTCCGTCTGTCTGTCTGTCCGTCTGTCTGTTTCTACGCAAACTAGTCTCTCAGTTTTAAAGCTATCGTCTTGAAACTTTGCACACACCCTTCTTTCCTTTGCACGCAGTATATAAGTCGGAACGGCCCGGATCGGCCGACTATATCCTATAGCTGCCATATAACTGATTGATCGGAAATGGTATAACTTTGGTATTTTTAGAGTTAGAGAGTTTAAATTTTAGGTGAGAGCTATTTTTGGCAAAATAATACGACATGCCAAATTTCATAAGGATCGGCCGACTATATCCTATAGCTGTCATATAACTGAACGATCGGAAATGACCCAACTTTCGTGTTTTTGAAGATAGAAAGCTGGAATTTAGTACAGACTCTATTTTTGGTCAGTTGATCCAACCTACCAAATTTCATTAGGATCGGCCGACTATATCCTATAGCTGCCATATAACTGAACGATCGGAAATGGTATTTAATAGAAATATCAACTTTCGTATTTTTGAAGATAGAAGCTTGGGACTTTTTTTAGATTTGGTATTGTAATAAATTGGAGTATATATTCCTATTCCCATAAGGATCGGCCAACTATATCCGATGTTTGCGATATATATCCGGTTTTAACTGCAAGGGTATATAAACTTCGGCTCCGCCCGAAGTTAGCTTTCCTTTCTTGTTTTTAAATATTTAGAACAAGTAAAGTAGGTCGTAATTAATATCCATAATTGGCTATACTTACATGCCTGATTTTAAATATTTTTTGTTGATTTCTGTATTGGAGTGTAAGGTGCTACTTGCCGCTAATCAGTTGCGCCCACAAAACTCATTCACCTCTGGATAAGCATATTTGTAAATCTTAATCCGCGAAATCTATCCACAACCCGTATCCACAACTCCTCCGGCAGCGGTCTACGCAACTCTTGACCATGAAATCCATTTCGGATACGTGCTGTTATTTCCGTTTTGTAAGCCATTTAATTGGCGCTGTTTTGGACGATGATTTCTGCAATTGCTGTGCAAGTGTTTGACTTTGACCCGATTTGCTTTTGGCCATTTTTTGTTTAATGACAACCTTTACCGATTTGCATAGCCCAATCGTTTAAATATTCATAGAAAGATGTACTAAATGTTCAATTTACAGATTTGAATGCATTCTAGCGATATGGGCTTTTGTTTACACTGAGCAGGTGGGGGGTCAAGCACGATTGGGTCCGCGCGAAGGTTGTGTTTATCCACAAATATTGGCAGAAGACTGCGAGCTTCATAACTCATTTTTGTGGAAAGAGACTTGCGCAACTCACCTTACGATTTTTGATAAATATTTACAAACCTTATTTAGAATCAAAAGGTTAGGTGTGTGTTAGTTGACGTAGTTATGCCAAAGTTCTTTCTGAGTCCATAAGACACGTCTTTGAAATTCCACTTAATTGAGATCAAGAACTCGAACACGCCCACCTTTTAGGCCCAAAAGGAACTAGCCGCCAACAGACAAAGGGTCACATTTGCATTTCATTATGAGAGAACAGAAAATCGAATGAAAAGAAAGTAGCCGCCAGCGTGGAGAATATATAAAATGTATTTCCAGTTGGCCAAGTTTTGGGGCAGGCTGGCTGGCTTGCTGGCTGGTTGACTGACCAGTCAACAAATTAGGCCTCAAGTATGCAGGTAACGGTTTCTCGAATTCGAGCCACCACCACCAGGCCAGCCAGCAACATCCACAGCTCGTCGAGTCTGGGAGCTGTAGATGGAATTGGCTCGGCTCTTTCGCACTTTTCGCTGCCGCTGCCGCTGCCGCTCTCAGTAGTGGAGTGGAGTAGGCCTGCATCGGTTTCTTGGCTTTCAGGTTTCTCGGGGATTTCCTCGCACTTGTTGCATGTGGCACAGTTTCGCAAGCGGCAAGGCAAGCTCCACTTCCGAGCGCCGACCAGCCGGCAGCCGCAGTGTCTGCCACCCCCTCGTGAGTCAATTAGCACAGCGGCTTTCTGGCCAACTCTGGCTCTGGCTCAGAAGCGGGCCGGAAAGCGAAAGTGGTTTGGGCATCTCAGCTCAGCATCGCTCTGACGGTTCAGAGTCTCTGAGTCAAATGGCCCATGTGTGGCCAATGGCCCATGGATGGAAATGGACAACATACTGTAGCGTCAATTGGTGTTACATCAGCCGGCTCTTGCTCCAGAAGATGGCGACTTGCCGCGAAAAACAGAAAAACCCACTTCATTTTTCCTGCATGATTTTCTCCGCTTCTTTCTCGGCTTACACATATTTGAGGTCTGTGGATACAGCTACGGGCAGATAATCATGATCTTTAATGAAGGATATTGGAGCATAATTTTTTTCTCTAAAAATAAACCGAGACTTTAAAATATTTCGAAAGTTTTGAATCAGGTTTCGGTTTTAATTCATTTTAATATTTTATTTTTTTAGTGGCACTAACTTCCTTGCCACCGCTGTGCATAAATACATAATTTGCAGTGTAAGCTCGACTTGGCCACAAATATGAGCCGAGACGAAGCCCCAACCCAGCCCAGCCCGGCCGGGCCATCTTTGATCGGCGTTGCAGAGCTCTGCTGTGTCAGTTGTATTTCTGGCACGCCGGCCAACGGTTCACCTAGCGGCTCTGCCTCTGGGCCTCCGAATCCGATTCCGACTCCGACGACTCTTCCTCACGTACGCGCCGCCAATTCACGAGACTCACGAGAGTGATTAGTTTCAGGCCAAAGTAAATTGAAAACCGATATACCCCAACCCCGACACCGGTACGAATCCCCCACCTCTATCACAGGTGGTTTTTCGCTCTTCCCACTCCCACTCCTACTCTCTTTCTCGCCTCACTCTCACTTGGTGGTGGGCTCCCCTGCAGGGCTGCTCGGCCGGCCGCTCTCTGATGGGGGTACTTGATGTGATTCACCGTTAAGCCGTTAAATCGCTTTGCTCGTGCGCGCACTGATCGATTCACTCAGTGGAGCGACGTCGTGTCGCTGCTGCTCTCCCGTGCCGTGTCGTGGTTTGTCGCTTGTCGTCGCCACTACCTACCCGACCCGCCTGATTAAGGTTCAGACGCACATCCGACCAGCCGTCAGTTGGCTCAAAAGCCCCAACAGTGGAGCATCGCGTTTTAACAAAAAACGGAACACGGAAAACGGAACAGGGAACGGCCGAGTCGCTGCCGATCAAAAGACGCCACAACATTATTTGATATCGAGTCCGAGTCGGGTGGAGCGGCCGAAAAAGGCTGATTGTCCGAGCGAGTGTCCGAGTGAGTGCGCGCCCCATCACGATAAGTGACTGTGATTAGATAATGAATGGATACCCAATTGGAAACCTGAGCTGGCCATTTAGCTGGCCTTACATTGCTTACTAAAAAAAAAAAGAGTTTAGAGAAAAGTAAACAAAATAGCAGAGTGAGAGAGGCTGAGCGGTTTTTTTTGTTAAAATATTTAGTACATAAGACATGTGCGTGGGCCAAGATAATGTCAAAATAATAATGTTACTACCAGCCAGCCCCAATCGCGCCTTGCGCCATTCCTCAAAGTATTGTATAATCATCCAAAATAGGCTCAAAACGTGACGCGACTGCCGGAGTGGTGTCGAATCCGTGCCAGGCCGACTAATTTGCCAGTCAGATTGTGGCCCAAAAGCCCATCATTCTGGACGATAGCCAATGGAAGCGACGGAAGTGTTCGGCTAATCGCCATAATCCAATTAGCCCATCGCCTCGAGGGGATCTGCCTTATTGGAAAGAAATCCCAGCTGTCTCGCTGATAACGGGCCGATAAGACGGGCCGAGTCATGCCGGCCCATATTGGCCTACTGATTACAGGCCATACTTCAAGGAAATTGCCTCCTATCGCACTGTAGATTAAAAGTCTGTCATAAGAGTGAGTCACTCGGGGACTTTGCCACAAAGTGTGTCGTGTTTATCACACCAGAATGCGTCTCTCGCTGAAAGAAAATCCTGTAAGCGCGGCATTGACGGCTCGGCTCTTGTGCATCGATTTTCCGGTAAATTAAGTTTTCTAAGTGAACGATTGTCACGGCAAGCCCAGCCAGCGCCGTATAATCAGCATGTGTATACACGGACACGGACGACCCATAGAGGATGGATGTGCGGCGATAAAATCAGCAAAAGCCATCAAACTATTTAATTTGTTGCTGTTGTTGTTGCATTGGCAGCTGCAGTTGTTGTTGTTGTTATTGTTATTGTTGTGGTGTCGGCAAGGGGCGTAGTCGCTCTAATTGATTTTGAAAATGCAAGCTACTGCAGAACCAAGCCGTGTAAATATTTGCGTGCCAGCATACCCGCCACCCACTATGCCCACTGCCCTACCCCTGACACGATTACGTATCTCCTGGCCATGTCTTGGCCCTCTAAGGGGGGTGGAGGGCTGCCTGCCACACAGCCGGAAGAGCAACAGGCGGCACTCGATGGCTCATTGATTGTTTACTTGGACTTGGGTGCAAAACGGGCACGGGCCGGGGCACAGACCCAGGCCTGTGTTCAAACACATGTTATGCTCCCCGCCTTGTTTGTTTGCCCGCCGATTTGTGTATGTGTCTCCCTCCCCTATCTTGGCACCTCCGCCACCCCCTCCCTCAGCCGATTACATAAGCTATAGGGCGCCGCCTCCCATTTGTGTTGCTTACCTTCGCAATTCCGCAGCGAGAGAGGTAACGAGGCAGAGTGCCATCAAGGGGGTACAGGTGGTTGGCCCATCCCATCCCATCCCTCGGCGGAAGCGTCATCGTCGCGGCTGTTTCATAATTTATGCAAATCAAACAGCGAAAACCCCCTCGCCTCCAGTGGATGCTGTGTGGTGTGTGCACCTCCAGACGAGGCCGATCGCAAAGCGCGCCACTGACCCACACACAAAAAACCAGCAACATCAAGAGCTCGCCAATTGCGACAACCGCGAATTTCGGGCTGGCTGAGGCAACGACCACGACGATGGCGATGGCAATAAAGCGGCACATTTTTGTCAACGGTTATTGAGCCAGTTGCTCAACTCCTCTTACGTTGGCGTCTCTCCATTGGCATAGTCATAGTCATCGAGGGGCCAACATCCAACATCCAACGCCAACGACATCACCATCTCCATGGTCATTTCATTGTTCATGACATTCAAAAAAAGCCAACCAGAAATGGCCAGGCCGCAACTCGCCCGTGCAATCGCCTTTGAGGAAATCTTGAAAATCTGCTTTCTCACCAGACCAGAGATACATATACCCCAAAAAGTGGTTATAAAACACTCGATTTAATAGAAAAAGATAATTAATTTCACATTAAAGTAATACACCTTTTGGTTCTTAAAGTTGTTTAAAATTTTAACCAAAAAACTTAACAAGAAATGATCATCAGAAATGTTTTATCTGAACCTCCTCCAGTTAAAAAAAGGGAGGTTGATGTATTCATATCAGTTATCATTTCATTTAAATTTTTTTGTTATTTTCGGTATGCACTGCCCGTAGCTTGACCAGCAAATCAATTGAAATTCATAAGAGAAGGCGGTCGGTTGGTCGGAAACCAGAAATCGCTTTCCCTGTGTGAGTACTTGAACTCGTTGAACCCTCGCGCTAGGGGGTTTTTAGGTGTTTTATGCCCACTGTGCTGGAATTTGGAATCCGCTCAGTTGACACAAAGTGCAGTCTTTGTCCAGTTAGCGGCATCTTAATTGCCAACCGTCCGAGTAAATAGCCAGTACGGACTTGGCTAGGCGGGGAGTTCGAGCACCCGCAAACGAGTTCGAGCCACACAATCCTCATTACCGACAATGCACTGGCATGTTTTCCGGCGTGATAGTCGTCTATAATTTCCTGATCTCAAGTGTTGATTAATGGCCAGATAGATACTTGCATAAACACTAGCTGTTAGAGTGCCTCTAATGCACTGGCCATTAAGCGCAACAGCCAAGAGGGAAGTGAGTTGGAGGTGCGATTTATTCCTTAATTAGGCCATTGGAATAATTGGAATCAACAGTTGGCTATGATTTAGACACTTTTGATTTAAACCCTAATTCTCTCACAATACAAATACTTATTGGCCAACATACAACTCTAATTCCAGCTTGTGCTAACCAAACTCTCTGCTGATCCCAACACCCACAAGAAGCACCAAAATGGCCGTCTTACTGCAGGATATCCAGGAGTGGTATCGGGACCTCATGGACAACAAGAGCGGTAAGTGAAACAAGGATATCTTTTGGAGCAATAACCTAAGATATACTATCATTCCCCAGATCCCCGCGTCAGTGACTTCTTTCTACTGTCCTCGCCACTGCCCACGCTGGGCATGTGCATATTCTACGCCTACTTCAGCAAATCTCTGGGACCAAGGCTAATGGCCAACCGAAAACCAATGGAGCTGCGTACGGTGCTAGTCTTCTACAACGCGATACAGACCATCTTCAGTGCGTGGATTTTCTATGAGGTGAGTAAGCAAGATCCTCCTCAAGCTACAAACTAGATACACCTTTAACTTCTTCCTTGCAGTACTTAATGAGTGGCTGGTGGGGTAACTACAGCTTTAAATGCCAGCCCGTCGATTACAGCAACAGCCCCTTGGCGATGCGAGTAAGTTTGCCGAGGAGGTGGCTGTTCCCCAGACACAAGTTAACCCTTCTTTTGGATCTCCCTCTCTGCTAGATGGTCAACATCTGTTGGTGGTACTACATATCCAAGTTCACCGAGTTCTTCGACACACTCTTCTTCATTCTCCGCAAGAAGAACGAGCACGTCTCCACCCTGCATGTCATCCACCACGGGTGCATGCCGTTCTCGGTCTGGATGGGTCTTAAGTTTGCACCAGGTGGGTAATCACTCGACTCTGTGGAAGAACATAACTCATTTATGTTTCGTTTCAGGCGGTCACAGCACGTTCTTTGCCCTCCTCAACTCCTTTGTACACATTGTGATGTACTTCTACTACATGATCGCCGCCATGGGCCCCAAGTACCAGAAGTACATCTGGTGGAAGAAGTACCTGACCACCTTCCAAATGGTAGGACAGACCCACATCGCATTGAAGACACAGTTTTCTGAAGCTCATCGCTCTTTCAGGTCCAGTTCGTGGCTATCTTCACGCATCAGTTCCAGCTGCTGTTCCGCGAGTGCGACTACCCAAAGGGATTCATGGTTTGGATCGGTCTGCACGGCATTATGTTCCTGTTCCTGTTCTCCGACTTCTACAAAGCCAAATATCTGAACGCCACCCGCCGTCGTCGCCAGGCCGTCAAGGCCAACGGACATGCCAACGGTGTGCAATCCAACGGACACTCCAAGCACCTGGGAGAGGGTGATGCTCCTCTGACCAACGGCAGCAATAAAGGAGCTTGTATGGTAAGTGGCTTGCCACCTAGGCTGGTGGGCTGGAGCTGGAGCTTTTAGCCGGGCTGGGCAAACACACTTGCTAATCGTGTCGATTGGACCGGTCTGGAAGCGGATTGGATGGGCCGATCGAGACGTGAGATAAGTTCGGAAGAGTCTATTTGGTGTGGGTAGTTGTTGTATCATCATTTTGTTGATCAACTTAAAAATTCTAACTAGCTAAGTTAAACAAACAGGGCTGGCAAACTCTCAACGCCAGCGGGGGACGTTTCAATTAGCGCTCACATGTGAAGCCGGATGCGAAGGTCCAAGCCCCCAGCCCCAGCCACTACCCTTGCCCCTGCAGCTGGTAGTACTGCGTCAGTTCCATTAGAAAAATACACATAAATGAGCTTTTTACCCTGGGCGCCCACGTGCCCCGTTGTTTATCGAATCGCGAGTATAATTTTGTGTGTATTTCTCTTTCTTGCAGCCCGTATTGGAGGATGAGTACGTTAAGAGCAATGGGCACACCATGGATGGCTTCTTCAAGGAGGGCGTGCTGTCCAGCAACGATGCCATCTTAAACCCGGACAGCAGTAGCTCTAGTCTGCACCAGCGCAAAGTCAAATAACTACTAATTAGGTGTACTACGATGATATTCATTATGATTAATTTAAGTGTTTAGCGTTTAAATCAACCAGATTGAAGGACAAGCTTGCAAATACCTTGCAGATGAAGATGTATCAGATACGATGTGACAATTGCAGCCACTATAGCCGCAATAGGGCGAAAATCAGGAGAAACACTCAGTTGAAGGATTGTTCTTTTCATAATTTATAATACAAGAGACGAAGATGTTTAGTCAAAGTCGATGTTAAGAAACGTACCGAACCGAAGCAACTTGTGCCCACCCACCCGAACCGTCAACTAAAGCTAAGTAGGAGAAAACAAAGTAGCAGCAGCAGCAGCACAAACTGTTATGACCTAACCGAAACCTTTTATAAACGTTTTCTACGGCACCAGTTTACAAGCCTTACAAGCCCATTTTATGGATCACTCAGCAAGTTACCAACTCACCACCTCACAGTAGCAGAAACAAGCATTATTTTTGGAAAGATATTTGTAGGCCCCCATTGATAGACGATTTAAATTTTTTATAATAGTGTAACATTGTTAGTTGTAGACTTTTTTATGGCAATTTTGATAACTAGTTAAAAAAAAAAAACGATAAACTGCTAAAAAAAAAAAAGCTGCTAAGTAGGCTCTTTTTGTATAGGCATTTTGTAACTTAAAGAGCAGGTTGAGAACTATTTTTGGAAGGATGGCCGACTTTGTTGCAATACTTTGTAAAGGTCTAATAGTTAAACTTATTTATACATTGTAGCTAGCTAGCCAATTGCAAACGTAATGAACAGTCTGCCAGACAAACAAACAAACACCTTCTCCCCTCACAGAAGGTTAGGTTAGGATATCAAAGGATGACATCGCATGAAGACGAAGCTTCAGTTTGTGGAAGAGACTCTTTAGAGCAGACAATCAGTTAATGCCTATGCGCGTTGGTCGCCAACGAAAAAAGGAAACTAATCATTCAAATATTATTACATATATCTCTGAACCTCATTTTGGTGTGGCTTACAACATGTGTATATTTTTTAATCAAAACTACTTGTATGATATGTGTACCTATACTACCCCATTATCCCACTTTTGGTTTGAAGTTGTTAAACGGTTTCATTTCAGAGGAGAGAAGCAAAAGCTATTGCTAGGATTGTTCGTACCTTTAATTCTGTCTGTTAACCTGTGCGTATTGGTTTCATTGTTAAGTTATGTGGTTTAAGCTGAAAAGTTCAAAAACTATGGGAAACCTGAATAAAGCTTATTAATTAATTTATACTGAATATTATGATTGTTTTTATTTTAAATGTGGATTAGAAATGGAAAGGTTCTGAAAGTGGGGAATACTTTATTTCATTATTAAATGGAAAATATTGATATGAATCATAGTCTTATTATAATTCTTAAAAGTGCGTAGTAGTTTTAACTCCACATTTTTAAAAGATACTATTAAAAAGGTATTTTAGAGATATTGTTTTGACCCTACTAAGGTTAGTATTTCCCTAGAGATGCTTTTATTTCTTTCAAGTTTTTTTTTAAAACTATTGCCGAGTAGCACAGTGTATGCTCAGTATTTGTTGTCCTTAAAAGTGGTGCATACTTTTAGGAGTAGCCTATGAAAACCCGCCATTCTTGTTGAAATTCAAAAAGACTTCTTGTTTACTTAAGTCACTTATTTCATTGTTCGAAGGTTTGAAAAACTTGAACCTATTCCATTATTTTAGACTTTCCTAATCTATAAAAAACCCCTACCTACTTGTTGGATTATTTTCGTTGCTTATCTAATGACCAGGTTTCTCCGAGTCCAAGTACAATGTTTCGAGATCCACAGTGATCTAAGCTGTTTTTAAAGCCAAAAACAAATAGATAAATATTTTGCTGGATGGGAGAATACTGGGATGAGGGTCAGTCAATTTTCATGACTTTTGGTTTGGAAAAAAGTCAGTTAACAACAAACTTGTGGTTATCGGCGGGCATAACGCATACAAATTTGTCAAGTCAGCAAAGTCAGCCGAAATGCCGCACCCCCTCCATGCAACACAACTTGGATCGGACTTGGATCCCTTAGGCTATGTGTGTACACCCCCAAGATCAAGTTCCAAGCGAAACGCCTCAGTCTGACAGTGCACACTTTGCTCCAGAAATGCATCTATATAGTATTCGGAATGACTCCTCAGGATCGTCGCAAAAAAAAGGCCATTATCTTAACGATGCATTTCTGCCACTGGTTAAACATCGAAATTAGCAATTATTTCATTTACTAATTATTGACAAACAAAGGCTATGGGCTGCGCGTTCCGGCGGCAAATATTTGACACCCACTTGACCTTGCAGGGCGTGATGTCAGGCACTGGCAGGTTTACATAACTAAATGCATCGGGATGCACGAGGAGATGCACTTGCCGGCAAAGGTGCTTTCGAGATTCTCGAGGGCCCTTGAGGTCTATTTTTTCAGGTAGCTCTCAGCCCACGCCGGCACGCGCTTAGACTCGGAATACTGATTCTCCATCCTAGTCCAGTTTTATGTAATCCTAAGCCATTAGAGGATGTTGTAATCCCCGTTCCAAGAATAGCGATACTTTGTCCCTCTTGTGGGAGCCGCTTGCTGCGTAATATTCGATTCTGGAACCCTTGGACATTGGGCGGGAGAGTCTAGAAACCCGTAAAACCCAACCTGTAGCCATATGCACTTGAACTTTGCCAACCCGCCCCGAGTTACATCGTCAGACCCTGCAGGTTGGGGTCGGGTTCGGGTTTAAGGTCGTCTTTTGGGGGTCCCAGGTAATTAGAATGTTTACTTTGTTTCATATACTTGAAGCCCGAGGTGGGGGTGGAGGTGGAAGTGGCAGTGGCGGTGGCGATTGTTGTGGCGGAAAGTTTTCACGCTGCACTTGGCCGTAAAGTTTCCACACACACACACCACCTGCTCGACCGCCTGGCTGGACTTGCCAATTCTGCGCCTGCGCCTGCGCAACGTCAACGCAGCGCCAGCGTCGCTGTTGAAGTCGACAGAATCGGCGCAGCGTCGGCAGCTCGTCGTCGCCATCCGATCCGGGTTTAATCAGCGACACAGCTGAAACGGAGCTCACTTTTCATTCAGAAGTCAAGCGCGCGCTAATCGCCAATCGCTTGCGAATCGAAACGCTTCTCGCCAGCTCTCGTGTTCGTGTGGGCCATAGCGCTATTGCGAAAGTAATCAGTTTAACGCAAAGTTCTTTGGCAACAATTTGTGAAATAGTTCGGGCCCGCGCAATTTTTGTGTTGTGGTTTTTGCAGTTTTCAGTTTTCGGTTACCAGTGATTTACCAACCGCTCCCCGTTGGCTGCTGTCTGGCTGCCTAGGTGCCTGCTGACTGCTACTAGCTACCAGCTTGCCTTGCTTTTTGGCCGTTTTGCGATTTATGCCGTCTGTGATCGGTTGCAGAGTTTTGAGTTTTTGAGTTGTTGGTAAGTGGCCTGCACATGTGATTTTCTCGTTCTTTTGCAACTGTTCGTTGGTCCGTTCACAATAACCATTTTAGACGGTACGGTACGGAACGGAGGTGTCCCCATCCTCCCCAAATTCCGATAGCCCCCTACCCCCTCCAAAGCGAGATTATGGATTAAGCTCACTGATCCAGATGTGGCAACCCCACCAGTTTTGTTTTTAAAAGAATGGCCTGTAATTCGTTTCAGAAAAGTTCTTGATTTCTAGTTTTTATAAGAAATTCTTCCTCTCCTTAAGATTAGCTTCAGAACACATAAATACCCTTGGATTTTTGGGTAATATCTTTCTCTAAAGTTGTCTTCTTTTAGCACTTCTTCAACAGCTGGCGCTTGTTTACATTTTTCAAACGTGGAGCCCAGGACAGCTGATCGGTAGCCCCTCCATTTTTTTAGGCAATTGCTAAATTTAGACCATAGAGTAATGAATAATTTTTCCAGCTAATTGCCAGCCATGGGTTTAAGGTTCGAGCACCAAGGTGCTATTCTCAATTAGCACGCCCTTGCACGCGAATATTTATTGCAGGCAGGGGTTTTTCTTGCAATACTGGCAATTATCGATATGATTACCTGGCAAGTGCAGCGAAGATCCCCGTGAAAACGTAAAACCGGCCCCGTTTCAGGCCGAGTCTGACCTTGGACTTGACTCTGCGGATCCTGCCCTAGCCTTGGGTTTTTCCCCAGCTGCCAATCACAGAGTCACAGGCTTGTAAACCACTTTGGGAACAACTTTCGAGGAATTACACATGTACCTTATGATGGAAGCTGCGCATGCGTGATGAGATCTCCTTTCAATAATGGATGCTTTTAGTTCTCGCTTCCGTGTTTTGCAATTAATTGCCCTAAAAGGACCAGGCCCAGGCATCACTTCCTGGTCCACTCTGCGGATACCTCCCTGGGGTTTTTTTTGTCTCTGATAGGCCTCAACAATCTCCGGCAGCGATGACTTAACAAACGACTTCAAATCGTAATATGGGAATTTCGCTTTCTGTATTTACATACAGATGATATGTGTGTTTTTTTTTTGCGTACACATACCAACCATAGCCGTTCTTCGAATGCCACGCACGTAGTCCGCATTTCAGACGAATTTACAGGCTACACGCCAATCCCCTCAGACCTCAATCGCAGACCGCAGATCCGAGATCTAAAGCCCGCGGTCAACGCGCCTTCGGGTTGACGACAGAATTTACCCAAACATTAAAGCGTTTAACACTCCACGACGTGGGCTGCGGCCTCACAAATCATTCTCTATAAATAATTCAAACAAACTTTCTGTCTAGAACAGGATCTCTCCGCTGCTTCCTCACTAAATGGCCGGGCTAAGATGCGGCATGCTAATTGGCAAGCAGGCGGCGCACTCGCCCCTCGACTTGGCTTTTTGGGCAAACAACTGACTGAGACTTGGAGTTTGGCCAGTCAGAGAGAGAGAGAGCTTCTGAGAATGGGTATTACCTTAGAGAAGTCTCCATTGGAGGCACTCAAGTGCATAAATACGTTTATCGATTCAGATCGACCTTTGATCGGATACTGTTCTGAGTTACGAGGAATTTTCTGGTCTGTTAAGATAGGGTCTTTAATTGGATAATGACTCAGTAGAACCGAAAAAACACTTCTTAGTACTTCCACTATACTTAGGGTAACTAAAGTTATTGAAAGCATATACTATAGATGATAAGGCCTATTAGAAACTAAAATTTTGGTAAAAGATAAGGCTGCCCATAGGCCAGTTTCAAAACATATACCATATATAGGAATATATAAATGTAGGTATATGTATGTTTATAAAATCAGTGACTAATGAATACAATTAACAAAGTTTCGTCCGTCTGCTACGTGTGGGGCATATGAAGCAGAAAGCAACCAGAAGCAGAAAACGCTATCCAGATAGAAGATGTTGACAGGTCTGACGTGAAACGATTCTGGGAAGATGGGAGGAAACGATGGGAGGACGGGTGGAATCAGGAAACGTCGTGCAACCACTAATTGCAGCCTGAACTTCAGGTGGACTTCAGGAGATCAAGTCGCCTGTTGGCCGACTTACTCATATGTATTTCCAAAATCAAACACATACCTAAACACTAACATTAAAACACACCGGACCAGCCATTCCGGCCACCGAAAAACAATAACAAATTACACATAGTACACACTCCGTGTTGCAGACGGAGTTTCGGCTACTAATCTGGCTCGTTAATTGCCGCAATTAGCGAGTCGAATAAAAAAACAAACAGAAAGTATCTGAGGGTAACGGAATACAACAAATGGATCATTACAAAATCTTCCATAATATGATTCAAGCTTGCGCATTAAATGTCTTCAATATGTAAGTCCAAATACTAGATATTCCTACGAAGAATACCTATCTAGAGTCGTTGAGAAACTTTATTTACAAATATTGCTTAGATGTCTGACAAACACACTCGCTTCAGGCTATTTTTTGGAAGGCTAAAGCAGTTGTTTACTGCGTAGAATAATCAGATTTTGTTTAATTTTTAAATATTGTTACTAAAAAGCCAACAGGCGCGAACTACCAGTAGATCTAATAGCTTTTCACATGCTAATTATTTCCGTGTGGAATTGCATTCGCATTGCATGCTAACAATTTGCAATGCATTAATTAGAGGTAATTCTTCCAAAAGATGGAAAACGAGTTAGTGGATACTCCGGATTCCGGAAGGAGGGATGCTAACAGGTAGCATTGAGAATCGTGTCTTGCCTTGACATGGCGAAAATAAAACCGCCCGAATTAGTGACTAATGTGGCCAAAACAAAAGACAATTGTGCTCGAACGAGGTACT